TATATATATATATATATATATATATATATATATATATATATATATATATATATATGTATGTATGTATATATGAGGACCTTATATACATATATATAAGGTCCAAGTGTATGGTTACGATGCCATATACTAATATTAAGATAATAAGATTTTGGTAGCTATCAGATTGATTTCAGTCTAGACCACTCACTTCTGTATATAAACTAGGGTTTTTGGGCTGATTGTCCTTAAGAAGTGCTTAGATTTGGGATTTTGGTTTAGATTTAGTTTTTGCATTGTCTTGATCTAGCTTTTTCCATTTTCTTTCTTTTTTTCTTTCTTTTCAGGATTTTAGTTTAGATCTAGCTTTTTGTATTATCTAAATCTCCCTTTCCTTTTAACTATTTTTCATTTTTCTTCTTTTGCTCTTTTCTTTTCATTCATTTTCATAGTAGATCAGCAATCTTTTCCTCCTTTAACTCTGGAGCAGCAATTGGTACAAATGCTTGATGCTATGTGATTGCAATTGAACAACTAAACTCAATTGATGGTGGCATTTACGGCATGTGGTACAACTCCTTGTTTGATCTTATGGGATTTTTTCAATACGACCAATCAGGTTTTTCCTCTTCAATAATAAAGTAACGATAGTATGATCACCTTCAAATAACATTTGAGAACTATGTAGATATATATGAAGTTTCTCAAAACCCCAGACTATTGCTAAACACTCATTTTCTATTGTAGAGTGGTTCACTTTCCCTAGTTATAATGTATAACTTATATACGCAATAGTATAGCATTAACTAGGCATACTTGGGCTCTTTTGCATTAACACACCCCAAAACTAATATCAAAAGCATCCACATGCAAAATAAAAGGTCTGGGAGACACTCCAATCCCCATGACAAACCATTGTACCATTGCAATACTGTCCTTTAGAAATATATGGGAAACTCACTATATCATCTCAAAAATGATATATAGCAATTACCGTGAAGTGATCGAACCAAAGGTATATATCATCCCAAGGATTCCCACGAAAGGACTCCAACCGAACGTGAGGATTGGCACCAAGAGCAGGAGTTGTATCATGTGCCATGAATGCTACCATCAATTGAGTTTAGTTGTTCAATTGCAATTGTATAGCATCAAGCAATTATACCTACTACTACTCTAGAGTCAAAAGAGGAAGAGATTGCTGATCTGCCATGAAGATGAACGAAAAGGAAAGAGCAAAAGAAGAGAAATGAAAAAAAGCTAAAAGGAAAAGGAGATCTAGACAATGTAAAAAGTTAGATTTAAACTAAAATCTTAAAAGGAAAGAATAAAAGAAAGAAAATGAAAGAAGTTAGATCTAGACAATGCAAAAGCTAGATTTAAACCAAAATCCCAAATCCAAGCACTCTTCAAGGATAATTAAAAATGCCTCTTAACTCCATTAATGTGAGTGCATGGGATATGGAAAGGGAATACAGAAAATGTGTATGTCAATTAGCCCAAAAACCCTAGCTTATATACAAAAGTGAGTGGTCAAGATTGAAACTAATTCGACCGTTATTAAAATCCCACTACGCTAATATTAATATACGGCATCATAGCCACACACACACAGACACACAGACACACAAACACACAAACACACACACACACACACACACACACATATATATATATATATATATATATAAAATTTATCTTATATATTATGAATTATCTAATTTTACTTTAGATTCTCTTTTGCCATATATGGTTTTTAAAGAACCTCATTAATTTTTTTATATTAAAGATTGAATTTAAAATTCTAATGGTTACCTTAAAATTATTATATATTTGAATATAATTGCTAGTGACATGTGATTCTTGAAGCTGCAAGGGCAGCACAACTATGATCCCATAAGCTACCAAGAAATCTAGAGGTTGGAGCTTGAGCCCATAGCCATATGGAACATTTAGAAATGGACAAATTGTGGCCAGTAAAAGTACATGGTACAGTGGTGAAATCCTGCTAAATTGCACTTTGTCCCCAAATATAAATTTTGAAGAAGAGGATTGAAAAATCTGTAGCAAAATGGCACTGTTAATTTAAAACTCAACCACACTATCAACCAGTCAACAATGGAATGCGGTTGGACGGAATTGAACGAGTGACCCATTGTTCGATTTGGTAGGTAAGCTCATCCAGTCAGCGATTTGCCACGTGCCAGTGTCTAATTCGTCCTGACGGGGCCCATTGAAGTATAACAAAAAGGGTTTCACGGGAGTGAGGCGACCTCGTTCTTTCAGGCTCTTCCAAGGCGGCGGCAGCGGCATTCGACGCTCTCGCAGCTCAGATCTCTCTCGATCTCTCTCGATCTCTCGGCGCTATCAAGGTGAGCTCCCGATTGGAATGTAGATCCAGGGTTTCGGCACTCGCAATCTCTCCAAATCTTGTGGCTTTTGAGCTTAGGGTTGTCGAAATATCCTAGATCTTGGCGTCGCGCATTTCTATCTTCCAGATCTGACGCATTCTTGGTCTCGCAGATGGCTCTATCGGTTGAGAAGACTGCCGCCGGGCGCGAGTACAAGGTCAAGGATATGTCCCAGGCGGATTTTGGAAGGCTGGAGATCGAGCTCGCTGAGGTCGAAATGCCGGGCCTTATGGCCTGTAGAACCGAGTTTGGCCCCGCGCAGCCATTCAAGGGAGCTCGGATCACTGGCTCGCTCCACATGACGATTCAAACGGCTGTTTTGATCGAGACTCTCACGGCCCTTGGTGCTGAGGTTCGCTGGTGCTCGTGCAACATCTTCTCCACCCAGGACCACGCTGCTGCCGCGATTGCTCGTGACAGCGCCGCGGTGTTTGCATGGAAAGGGGAGAACTTGCAGGAGTATTGGTGGTGCACTGAGCGTGCTCTCGACTGGGGTGTTGGCGGCGGCCCAGATCTCATTGTCGACGATGGTGGCGATGCCACTTTGCTCATCCACGAGGGTGTCAAGGCCGAGAAGGAGTTTGAGAAGAATGGAACGCTGCCGGATCCGAGCTCCACCACTAACCAGGAGTTCCAGATCGTTCTTGGTATTCTCAAGGAGGGCCTCCAGGTCGATCCCAAGAGGTACCACAAGATGATGGAGAGGCTTGTTGGTGTTTCTGAGGAGACCACCACTGGTGTCAAGAGGCTCTACCAGATGCAGTCGAATGGATCGCTGCTCTTCCCGGCTATCAATGTCAACGATTCAGTCACCAAGAGCAAGGTACTCACGACTTCTTTTGTTTATTGTCTTGAAAAGTTAGTGCTCATCGTGAGTGCTTTTCTTTTACAGTTCGACAACCTTTACGGCTGCCGACACTCTCTCCCTGATGGACTCATGCGAGCAACTGATGTGATGATCGCTGGGAAGGTCGCAGTCGTCGCTGGATACGGAGATGTCGGCAAGGGTTGCGCCTCAGCAATGAAGGCCGCTGGAGCTCGCGTCATTGTGACCGAGATTGATCCAATCTGCGCTCTCCAGGCTCTGATGGAGGGTCTCGAGGTGCTGACTCTGGAGGACGTTGTCTCGGTGGCTGACATCTTCGTGACAACCACTGGAAACAAGGACATCATCATGGTGGACCACATGAAGAAGATGAAGAACAACGCCATCGTGTGCAACATTGGTCACTTCGACAACGAGATCGACATGCTGGGCCTTGAGACATACCCCGGCGTGAAGAGGATCACCATCAAGCCTCAGACCGACCGCTGGGTGTTCCCGGAGACAGGCACCGGGATCATCGTCCTTGCCGAGGGTCGTCTCATGAACTTGGGCTGCGCGACCGGGCATCCCAGCTTCGTCATGTCCTGCTCTTTCACGAACCAGGTGAGAACTATATCTCTGTTTCTCAGTGACTTAGATGTAGCGGCTGTGACTTCGAAGCGTGCTAACTTGAAATTCGACTCCTTTCCCAGGTGATTGCGCAGCTAGAGCTGTGGAACGAGAGGAAGTCCGGCAAGTACGAGAAGAAGGTCTACGTTCTTCCGAAGCACTTGGACGAGAAGGTGGCGGCGCTGCATCTGCCCAAGCTGGGTGCCAAGCTGACCAAGCTCTCCGCCGACCAGGCCGCGTACATCAACGTTCCAGTGGAAGGTCCATACAAGCCCGCCCACTACCGCTACTAGAGCGAGCGCGCGTCTCTCCCCGGATCGAACGGGAGGAACCGGGAGGTACTCGAGCAAAAAACTCCGAGCTTTTAATCCTTTTTCGTTCGTTACTATTTCTTACGAGAGTGGCAATGCCAAGCTCTCGCGTTTTGTCTCACTAAAAGTTTCTTAAAAATAACGATGTTTTGGGCTAAGATTGTTTAAAGGATAAAAGGTCGCGGCCTTTTAGGTTATTTTAAAGCTGCCCTAAAACGGCGAAGACAGGCTAAAAGGTCGTAATAACTTTTAAGTTATATGCCCTAAAAGGAGAAAAGGTTCCTTTTCCATTATATAAGCTGTTCAGTAGATTAGGGCAAAGTATTGCGAGAAGATGGGGGGTAAGCGCTTGGATTTCCTCACAGCGAAGGCGCCGCCCGGCTACGTCGCTGGCTTGGGCCGCGGCGCCACCGGTTTCACCACTCGATCGGATATCGGCCCCGCCAGAGCGGCGCCGGAGACCACCACCACCAGCTTTGGGCGGGGCAGGGGCAAAGCGGCGGCGCCGCCTATTGGCGGCGGTGGTGCGGAGGACGAGGAAGATGAGCACGAGGTGAGCGGGTATGGCCAAATCCAGAACCAAGAGTTTGACGAGTTTGAGGGTAACGATGTGGGGCTGTTTGCCACAGGTGTGTATGACGCCGACGACGATGAGGCCGACGCGGTGTATGAGAGCGTCGCCGCCAGGATGGATTCGCGACGCAAGGAGCGACGGGAGGAGCGGCTCAAGCGCGCGATCGAGCAGCGCCGCGAGAGCACTCCCACGATCAAGGAGCTCCTGGCAGACGTGACGCGAACTCTGGTGGAGCTGCCCCCGCAAGAGTGGGAGAAGATCCCCGACGCGACGAATCTGTCGCGGCGGAAGAAGAAGGCGCGGTTTGAAAGCTACGTTCCTCCGCCGGACACACTCCTCGAGAAGGCCCAAAAGGAGCGTAACACGGTCCTGGACCAGGGTGGTGGCGGCGCTACCGTGGTTGGCGGCGCCGCTAGTAGTAACATCAGCAGCCTCACAGCCGTGGGCGAGGGACGCGGCACGGTTCTCTCGCTCAAGCTGGATCGCTTGTCCGACTCGGTCAGTGGGCTCACGGTCGTGGATCCCCGAGGCTACCTCACCGATCTCAAGAGCATGAAGATCACCAGCGACGCGGAGATCTCCGACATGAAGAAGGCGCGGCTGCTGCTCAAGTCCGTGATCCAGACCAATCCAAAGCACGCGCCGGGGTGGATCGCGGCGGCGCGGCTGGAGGAGGTGGCGGGGAAGATCACCGCCGCGCGGAGCGTCATCCACCAGGGGTGCCAGGAGTGTCCGAAGAACGAAGACGTGTGGCTCGAGGCATGCAGGCTGACGAGCGGCGCCGCCGCCAAGGGAGTGATCTCCGCGGCAGTGAAGGCGATCCCCACGTCGGTGAAGCTGTGGATGGCGGCGGCGGCGCTTGAGGAGGAGAGCGCCGCTAAGAGCCGCGTTCTTCGCAAGGGGCTCGAGTTTATACCCGACTCGGTGCGGCTGTGGAAGTCGGTGGTGGAGCTGGCGAGCGAGGAGGAGGCGAGGATCTTGCTGGGCCGCGCCACCGAGTGCTGCCGCCACCACGTGGAGCTATGGCTGGCGCTGGCGAGGCTGGAGACTTACGACAAGGCGAGGGTGGTGCTCAACCGAGCTCGCGACGCGCTGCCAACCGAGCCCATGATCTGGATCGCGGCGGCCAAGCTCGAGGAGGCGGCGGGGAATGGCTCTCGCGTGGCGGAGATCATCGACCGCGCTATACGGTCGCTGGAGAGGCTCGGGGTGGTGATCGACCGCGAGTACTGGATGAAGGAGGCGGAGGCGGCGGAGAGAGCGGCGGCGGCGGGGACTTGCGCGGCGATCGTGAGGAGGACGATCGGGGTGGGCGTGGAGGAGGAGGACAAGAAGAGGACGTGGGTGGCGGACGCGGAGGAGTGTCTCAAGAGGGGATCGGTCGCGACCGCGAGGGCGATCTTTGCTCACGTGCTGGAAGAGTTTTCTGGAAAGAAGAGCGTGTGGATCAAGGCGGCGCTGCTGGAGAAGGGGCATGGATCGAGGGAAGCGGTGGACTCGCTGCTGGAGCGCGCTGTGGGGTGCTGTCCAAAGGCCGAGGTGTTGTGGCTCTTGGGAGCCAAGGAGAAGTGGCTAGCGGGAGACATCGATGGAGCTCGAGCAATCCTCACGGCGGCATACGTTGCGATCCCGGAGTCTGAGGAGATCTGGCTGGCGGCGTTCAAGCTTGAGTTTGAGAGCCGCGAGCCGGAGAGGGCCAGGATCTTGCTGGCCAAGGTCAGGGAGCGCGGTGGCTGCTCGGAGAGAGTGTGGATGAAGTCGGCGATGGTGGAGCGGGAGCTGGGAAAGGTGGCGGAGGAGAGGCGGCTGCTCGAGGAGGGGCTCAAGCGCTTCCCGGGATTCCACAAGCTGTGGCTGATGCTCGGGCAGCTCGAGGAGAGAACTGGGAACCTCGCCGCCGCGAGGAGCGTGTACGAGCGAGCGCTGGAGAGGTGTGATCCAGCGACGAGCACGCCAGTGTGGCTGGCGGCGGCGGAGCTCGAAGAGAAAGGTGGCAGGATCGCGAAGGCGAGGGCGCTGCTCACGACGGCGCGGCTCAAGAAGAAGGAGGATCCGGAGCTGTGGCTGGCGGCGATTCGAGCGGAGGCGCGGGCGGGGAAGTGGAAGGAGGCGGAGGCACTCATGGCGAAAGCGCTCCAGGAGTGCCGGAGGAGCGGGATCCTGTGGGCCGCGAGCGCGGAGATGGCGCCGCGGGCGCAGAGGAAGGCCAGGAGCTTCGATGCGGTGAAGAACAGCGAGCAGGATCCGTTCGTGGTTGCGGTGGTGGGGAAGTTCTTCTGGCAGGACCGCAAGGTTGACAAGGCGAGGAGCTGGATCAAGCGGGCGGTGGCGGCGGCGCCGGATATCGGGGACTTTTGGGCGGTGCTGTATCGGTTCGAGCAGGGGCACGGGAGCACGGAGGCGATCGAGGAGGTGGTGGAGAGATGCAAGGCGGCGGAGCCGAAGCACGGCGAGCAGTGGATCCGCGTGTCCAAGGCGGTGGAGAATGCGCATCAAGGGGTGGAGTTCGTGCTAGGAAAGGTGGCGGCGGGGTTTGGGAGGGACGATGGTATCGTCATGCCGAGCTCCAGGCCATAGCGAGCTCGATCTCGATCCAGGGGCTCTGTAAAAAAACGATTTTGGCATGGAGGAGAACGATGGGATCGTCATGGCGAGCTCCAGGCCATAGCTAGGCTCGATCTCGATCCGGAAGCTTTGCAAAAAGAGATTTTGGCATGGAAGAGATCTTCAATTCTTGACTCTTTCTTCTTCTTGCGGGGGAAACTCTACTGCCCTCTGGGCGTTGCGGATCTCCGAGGGGCCGGGGGTCTTCAAAGTCGATGGCATTCCTGAGAGTTCCTGAGATCGAGGAAGAGGTGGAAGATCATCCTGGGAGAAACTTTTGGAGAAACCATACCTGGAGGAGATGGAGTCTCAGCTGGCTGGGAGTAACGCTCTCGCCGATGCAAGTCATGGCGAATGGAGAGTAGTGCGTCAATGCGTGCGCCGCCGCTAATCTCCTCTCTTCTGCCTGGAAAGTGGAGAAATTTGCAAAGGATCGCCGCCAGCATCACCACTTACCTCGCTGGAGCTCTCCATTCTCCACGATTTCTTCCAACCCTAGAAGAAGAAACTAGGAAAATATTGTCTTTCTCAAGCTTTGTTTGATCCAAAAACTCCATTTTTTACAAAAACTAGGAACAAAATGTCGTTCGATCGATTGATCTATTGGAGGATCACGAACTGGAGCTGTTCTGCCGCGCGTAGGAATTCACATTGGTGGGCTTGTAGAGCGTGATTGGATCGCAGCGGCAGATCTTGCAGCGCCGCTTGTTGGTGTTCCTCATGCTCCTCTCGCGGCCACTACAAAAGCACAGGCAAACGCAGTGGCATTTGCAGTGGCATCCATTCCTGGATTGGCAATTGCAAGAGGGGCAGTGGCACGTCGGGCACCGGCAGTGGCACACGCAAAAGCAAGAGCATCCGCAAGCGCAGCCGCAGGCGTGGAGCTGGCAGTGGCAATTGCAAAACGGGCGGCAGTGGCAGATTTTCTCCGACGACGCCGCCGATTCCACCTCCTCGCCATCGCAGCCCAGAGATTTGCGCCGCTGCAGCTCCGCCTCGATCTCCTGCCGGTGCTGATCACACATCTTGGCACGGAGATTGCATCGCGCGCCCCGCCAAATCCCCTTTTCACGGAGGAGCCCTAGGTTTGACGGCTGGGATCTCCGCTCGCGCATCCGCGCCGTCCGTTTGATCCAGCCAATTGGCGCGTTTGTGCCGATGGGATATTCCCTCCTCCTCCTTGCGGTGACGCGGACGTGTGCGGCAAACGAAGAAAAGACATATCGATCGTGTATGTGTGGGAATTTGTAGGGTTTTCATTCCATGGTGGAGTTTGGTCAGGGGATTCGTGTGGAAGGCGCGGCCAGGGCGAGGAGTTGGCGATTCCATTGCGCGTTGTCCATTGTTTCGCAATGAGCGCAAGGAATCTCGCACAGGGATTTCTCCGGTTCTTTTTTTTTTCTTCCTCCTCTTCTTCGATCCTCCGATCAGCTCACAGCCGCTCGGCTTGGATCGCCCGGCAGGTCTGAGAATGCCCGTTCTTCACGATTTCTCGTCGGCGAATCAGTCCTCCGCGGCTCGAAATACCATGCTGTGCCAAGCGCCGTGGGACTTGGCATCCTCGGGCGATTTGAAGAGGAAGAGATCGTGGAGGGAAGCCGGTCGCGCTGTCTGTTTCAAGGACGAAGCGGCTTCTAGCGCGGTGAACACGTCCTTCTCGTGCACTACTTTCAACATTTTGGCACCGATTTACAAGCGCGTCAATGGAGAGGTAACGAAAATTCTTTGGCTCCAAGAAGTTTTATCGTGGTCTTAGCAAGGAAATATTTTTGCAGGAATGTCGCGAGAGCCAATCTCGAGAGGTCTGGCTGGACAGGAATCGGAGGATACTGGACATGCTTCTGAAAGGGAAATCGTCGGCAATTTGCTTGCAGGTAAAGCAACAAGATCGATCATTATCTTTTTATTCTGTGTCTTGTTCTTCGCTAGGAATTTTGGACGGGAAACGAAGAGCTAGTTGAGTTGTATGAGAAAACTTTAGGAGCAGCGGGGTATGACATGCGAAAACTTGCTAGGCCAAACGGACGCGGTGATGGTACGTGTGTTTCATTTCTTTGTCTCCTTTCCATTCATATGGAAGTGCTGTTAGCTTTCCAGGGCTCTTCACTGCTGTAAAGAGAGACGTCTTACGGGTGATGGACTATCAGGAGCTGCAGTTTCACGATTGCGGTGACCGTGTTGCCCAGTTTCTACGCCTCCAATCAAACATTCCAATGTACAGAGACTGTTTGCACGTAGCTGGACAACAAGAAGTTCTTCTTGTCAATACTCATCTCATATTCCCGCACAACTCCAACTTTTGTCTGGTGCGGCTGCGTCAGGTATGAGTTTGGTGTGCTTTGTGACTAGCTAGCTGACCAATTCGTGGCGAGCAGGTTTACAAGATCCTCAAGTATTTGGAGCAGTACAAAGATGACCACAATCTATCGCATGCGCCAGTTTTACTCTGCGGGTTAGTCAAGATATCTTCCAGCACGTTACATATGATTTTTTTCAGGGATTGGAACGGGAGCAAAAGGGGCCAGGTGTACAAGTTCCTGCGGTTGCAAGGGTTTGTGTCATCGTACGATGTTGCTCACCAATACTCGGATTGTGAAGCTGATGCGCATCGGGTAAGGAGTCCACACCACTAGCCGTTTTTGACATATTTTTTTCTCAGTGGGTGAGTCATCGTAATCACCGGGGCAATATTTGTGGAGTCGATTTTATATGGTTGCTCAATCCCAGCAAAAGTACAAGGTCGCTGAGAGAAAACTGGAAAAGCGCTGTATTCGGCATCATTAAAGTATGTCCATACGAAAGTGCTTTTCATTTTCACTTGTTTTTTTCTTTTCCTGTGACAGTCAAAACTTCTCCGTGAACACGGCAAACAAGGAAGAGACGCGTTTTGTTTTTTCCAGCAGAACGAATGCGATGAATGCTTGACTTATGAAGATTTCCATGCGACTCTAAGACGGGTAGGTCTGCATGCAGTTCTAACTTGCCTATCTAACAAAGAGATCGCAGCTTGAGCTGACGAAGGAGGACTTGGAAGGGCTCTCAAGAGATGAGATTGAGGAACTGATAAAATCTGCAGACTTTGATGGCAACGGCGTCATTGACTACGACGAATTTCAAGTATGTATGTCACTCAACTTAGAAAAGTCTTATGAAGTCTATATTTCAGGAGAGTCTCGCGTTTGACAATGCTTTCGACTGCAACAACGGAAGCAGCCTTGGCAGCTGGTCGAAGAGAATCTTCCAAACGGAAATAAGAAAAAGCTCCTGGGAGTTTGCTCAGCCTGAAGAGCCGGATCATCATCCTTGCCTGGTGGAGTCGAGTCCTGAGCTTGACGTGAGACACGCATCGTTTCATCCCCCGGAAGTGGAGCAGGGGACATGGCCCGACAACTACTCTTTGTCCGACCATGCACCTCTGACTGCCATGTTTGCTCCGGTGTACGCGCAAAGCAGGCAAGCTTGCTCAAATTTCTGACGCTAACGAGCCTGCATGGATGCATGCAGGTTGTTGCAACAATTGCCGGCAAATTTCGGCTTTTACGATTGATTAAAGGAAGAGCTATATTGCCTTATAACGTAAGATTGACGAGGGACCCAAACTTTTAATACCTTCTCATCTGGTCCAGACACGAGAAGAGACCGCCAACGGGGATACTCAGGTGCGTTGCATTCGTGAGTTAATATGTTACTAACCAATCTCACAGGTTTCGTAGAAATATATATTATAATGTTCGTGAATGAAACTGAGAATTTCAAGTAAGTTTACAATCACAAAAATACTTTATGACCTCTTTTTTTCTGTTGTAGCAAATTATTTCTTGTTATACATTCCACAATTTTGAGTTACAAGCTTTGGATGAGAAGCTGGCTCTCTTGTCCAAGCTCAACTCCTTTGGCCAACTTCTTCATTTCTACAAGATCATCTTGAGCCTCACTCTCGTCCTGATTTGAAGCTACCACTTGCAAAGCAGGACCATTATCAACGAGCGTGTCGGGGCCACCGTCCGGGACAAGAGCCGTGAGGAAGATCAATGGCAACAATCTCATGATGCTTCTCACCACCACGGCCAGCCACAGATTGGTGTAGTCGTCCTTCTTGACGTGGAAGAGCCTGAGGAGCCAAGCGCCAAGCCAGGAAGCAGTGGTACCCCCGAGATTGGACACGGACATAAGAAAGGCAAACACTGTTCCCTCCACTCCCGGCGGGCAAAGTTTGGCCGAGAGCACCAGCATTGGCATCAGCTGCAGCTTGAAGATGACGCTCGACAGCGCCTTGTCACCGAGCACGAAAAAATGGTCTGGAACTCCGAGCTTCAAGTTGTATCTCGTGACGAGAGCAATGTCTGGGAGACTGACGAGGCAGACAGCAACCTGGGAAGCAAACGTTCAAGGTGGCGAGAGAAGCTCGCTCGCGATCGAGTTACCTGAGTCCACTTGAACATCGTCCGGAACGAGTAGAATCGAAAGCAGGTGTTGTAGAGCAGGATCCCACAGACCATGGCGACGTAGCCGATTGCACTGACGAGGCCGAGGAAGTTCTCGCTGAAGCCGGGCCCGTGTTTGGAGTCCGTCATCCAGAAGAACATTGCCTCCGAGATGTCAGGACACACAGCTCCCTGCAGCGATGAGAATTCTACGTGAGAAACCAACGGAGGAGCAGCAGCATTGCGAGATCGAAACAAAGAAAAGGAGGTGGAAAGGCTGGAAGAGAGAGTTCACGCTGAAGAGGTATATGTACAGCGCTGGCTTCCAGATGCTCGGGCTGCGGACCGTGGCGGTGAAGAGGTGTACCGTGCGGAGCAGTGCCGCGAAGTTGGCCCCCGCGAGCTGCTTGGGGAGCTTGTCCTCGGGAAGAGCCCACGCTGCAACGATGAGCATGAGAGGCGCCGTGGAGATCAAGAGGAAAGCTCCCTTTGGACCCAAGGAGTGGACGGCTGGCCCGGCAATCCCACACCCGGAGAGGCCACCGATCGCCATGCTCCCCCACGACAAGCTCTGTGCAAAACAACAGCATGAGATCATCTCAGGGTGGCAGTAGCGGAGCTCTCTTCCTATCAAGATCAAGAAATGGTGGTAAACTCTCTCTCCCTATTTCGCTCGATCAATCCACTCAAGTTCTCTTCCAGGATATTTTTGCGAGAACTCAAGACGATCAAGCGAGCTCCTTAAAGTTCTTCGATCTAGCCGTGACGGTGGCGAAGTTCTCGACTCGCAATCACTGAGAGAAGAATGGTTACCTGCAAATCACTGGCGAGGTGTGGTACGTTTCGGCTGTGCTGTGCCACTGCGGCGTCGGTGACGACGTCCGGGAAGGCGGTACACAGCGCGGCACCGGCGAGCAGCAGCGTCGCGAGCAGCGGCGATGGAGTGGGAAGAAGCGCCAGCATCCACAAGCACAAGCTGCCGGCCATGCCGCACGTCGCCAAGTAAGGCCATCGCCGGTAGCTGCCAAGAACAAATTTTTAAGAAGAGATCTTTGGCAGGCCCGAGAACTCTACAAAAGTTACGCTGTACCCGCCAATGGGAAACGTGTCCGTTATAAGGCCGTAGATTGGCTTGATGTCCCATGGCAAGCTCGACAGTGCCTGGAAGAAAGAAAGAAGAAAAGAAGAAAAAGGTATGGAAAAAGAGAGAATTTGCGCCGCTTGCCTGGAATGCCTGGGTTGACGATGGCTGCAGCTTTTGGACGTCTTTCCAGTAGTAATTGATGGCCATGTTCTTGACGCTCTCGCCATATCCCTGGTTGACGCCATACACGATCATCACCACTGCCAGGAATGGGGCTCCAAATGCCGCGCGCAGCTGCCCAATCCAATCCACCAGGCCCATCGCCCTCTTCGCCTTTGCAGCGCCCAGATCTTCCTCCTCCACTGGCGATGCTAGCTCAACTCCCAAGGATCTCTCCTCGTCTGCTGGATCCATTGGAGAGAAATCACAGAGAGAGAGAGAGAGAGAATTGGAGAGGGTTCCTGCGCTAATCCATCGAGAATCGAGGAGGAGGAATTCGTCCGGCCTTGGTCTCTGGGTGACAAGCTCGAGCAAACCTCGGATCTCGCGGGCGTGGCATCCCAGCGACAGAGAAGAAGCACAAGATCAGAACTGGAAACCCCTATCTCGCGTCTCTCCCGCCGATCGCGAGTAGAATCCACAGCAATTCCACGCCCGGACCGCGGGCGAGATCGCCCACGACGCTCCTTTGTCCTAGATCGGCGAGCCCACTGCACAAAGTCGAGAGAACCGACAAAAACAAAGACCCTCTTTCCCTCGATCTTCTCGATCTTCTCCTCCTCTCTGCTCGATACTGGCGAGCGATTCCTCTGGCACTGATCTCTCGCCCAAAACAAGAGGGATTTTCTTCCTCTTTGCTGTGAGGATGTTTACACCTAGAATGAGACAGCCGCAACGAAGAAAGCGTGACCATTGACTGTAGACCCGGCGCCGCATTAGATTAGCGTGATGTTAATTAAGCGCGGTTAGCTCACTCCCATGAGAGAATAATGATGGGCGCGTACAAGCCAAGATCCTGTCGCTGGAAATCCATACCATAAGCAAGAAGCCAAGTAGTAGGCCTTGTTCTTGTTGTCCGGGGCATATTCGCCGCGATGGATGGAAAGAGCATCTTTCCCACGTGAACGCTGCATGTATTATTATCCACTCGCGGCGAGCATATTCACCCCAAAGATCCTTTTATACCTTTACCTGGAGCTAGTTAATTTCCATGGTTAAAGGTAAACTTACCCATAGTTATGTTTGAACTTAATCTTCTAAAACCCCCCAGGTAGGGTTTAGGGCATTTCTCTCTCCATGGCGGAGAGAAGGATTCCTTCCGGCAGCGGTAGTGGAGGTCAGGTATTTCCAGATTATCGTCCTGCTCTTCCTCCTCCTCGGCCTTGGATTGCGCCCGGGATGTGGCAGCCGCAGCCTCATCGGGCAATGTACGAGGAGACGATCAAGCGCTTGGATAATGCGGCCGTCACAGCTTACCAGCAGGCTCTTGGCGATGGCAACGGTGTCACAGTCGCGGCGGTTCTCGGCAGAATGCTGTGTCAGCTGGGGATTTACTCGCTGGAGTCGATTGGTGTGCAAATGCACCAAGTCCCTTGCTTGAGAACGCTATCGGCAATCGAAGGAAAGGTGGGAATCGAGTATTTTTTCTCTTTCTGTTCTTTCTTCTCAAATTGTTGCGCGAGTTCTGTTCTAAAGCCTTTCTACCTTTCTATGGGTGTAGGTGAACGCCTATATAGTGGCTTATGTTGCAGGGAACCGGATCACGACGCTCCACGACCTGGTTCTCGGGCTGTGCGAGGAGGAACGAGTTGATACGTTTGATGATCTTGGCCTTGGACCTGTCGTAAAACACGCCCTCGTCCAGCAAATTTTTTCTGCCGGATTGATGCAAGTTTACAAGATTACTGCGTTGGAGGTTTTAGAGGACTTGAACAGGGTGATGGAGAAAAAACAGCACGTTGATCCGGCTGCTCTACTCTCCTTCATTGCCGAAGAGAGAAGTGTGGACGTCAAAAGACTCTGCGTTCGCATTCAAAGCCTCGGGTTAGTTTTTCTCCCTTCATCGTTTTTAATCTCCTGACTGACTGTGGCCGTAGGATGTACATTGGTATCACTCGGGAAGTGAAACGGAAAGAAAAAGAAGCTCTACAAAAGTGGGAGGCAAACATGAAGAAAGCCCGCGAACAGAGGGAAGCTATACAGAGAGCCCTGAGAGGAACGCAAACCAACACTAACGTCGAATCCTCTGCGTCCCAGAAACCTTCACACATACGGTTCTGCTACTCCGATTCTGATTCTGACGACAACAAGGCAGTACCTCCGAGGCATAGCACATGTCCATTTCCATCCTCACGAGAAGAACAGAGAAAACCTTGTGGAGAAATGGTGGACAACGAATTTTCTCTCAAAAAATCTGCTGTCTCTGATTTTGTTCGTACTTGGAAGCGCTGTTGCCACGATTCTCCAGTGACCGAGGTAACATCTGTCTCTTCCATTTCTCTACGAGTTTTTTTCATGTATCTTTGAAGCAGGTACTTAAGCGAATGCTTGCTCAAGTAACCAGTGAAAAGAATTTGAGGAGGCTTTTCAAACTCTTTAAAACTCGTCCAGCACTTGCATTGCTGAACATCGCTGTAAGGAGACTTTCTAGTCTTTGCGTGCTTCGTGTTTTAATATCTGGTTCTCGTAGGTAGCCTCCATGAAAGGCTGCTTTCATTCGTCAGATGAAGACATGGATGCAACAGTGCAATGCTCCACTGCAGAAGTGGAAAAAGCTTTTGAGTCGCTATCGGGATTCGACTACGAAATCAGCAGAGCATCGATTGTTGAGTTTGTAGCAACGTGGAGAGATACTTGCCGCGACTGTTCTGTGGCTCAGGTGGGCAGATGTCTTTATTTTTGTTTACTGAACTGTTTGTTAGGCACTGAATCACATTCTAGCGGATACCAAGGGAAGTCGTAAAGTTCGCTACTTCAAATTCTATCCGGTGGCTCAAATACTTCATGTTGCTGTAAGAATCATGGCTTCGTTGGATTTACCGTGAATGCTTTCCTTTTAGTTAGTCTCTATCAATTCTGGAGAATGGGACGTCATAGCTCCAGAAGCGATCTCTGATGACGACGACGTAGTAGCTCTTGTGGAAGCTCCTCCCGCGTGCACTGGTATATTCTTTTATTTTATTTTATTTTAATTTTTTGGAGACTTCACTTGCTACGGCTCTCCTTGCAGGTACCAATGACGAGGTTTTCTCAGTGATCAAGGAACATTTTGAACGATACGTTCCAACAACGCACGGGAATGGCAGGTGGTGGTGCAATGTTCTGAATTGGGCCATTGGCTGTGAGAAGCTGCTTTACAGTTCATTCACAGATAAGGTGTTTTCCAGTCTAGGATGCAAAAGTCTTCTGAACTATCTGGAAGTGCATCTCGACAGGGTGATGGTGATGGAAAACAGAAGCTTAATCGATACCACTACAGTTCCACGGAATCGCATGCAAGCGTTTGGTCGGCAAGCGTCGAATGCAGATGCCACTTTGTCAGAGAAGGATATATCAGTCCGGTGCTGCAAGCAGTTCAATCTAGCAACGACAAGCTTTGAGGATCTTACCCCAGATGATATCAGGAGACCAAGCACAGTTTACTTCTCGGTAGCGTTACTTGGGGAATATTTGCCAAATTTCAGTGCCAAGGTTGGCAAGCTTGGAAGTAAGACAGACGCAGATGCCGAAGCATGTCTCGTAAAGGCACCAATGCTAGCTGACTTGACACTTTGGTCGCAATGGACGGACATCTATGAGCCTCAACTTGGTCCTCTTCTAGAGTGGCTCGAGCATGGAAGATGCAACCGGCAGGTTCTAGCTGTTGCGACCAGGGATGGCAAGCTCTTGCGAGTAGATGGAGATGCAAGCGTAGATAGCTTTCTCGATGCAGTTATAAACGGGCGGTCTTTGGATGTTGCGGCGCAGCTGGTATCTCTAGTAGTGTTGTACGGAGGAGCAGCAAGAACTCCAAAAGCGCTACTCCAGACACATGCGCTTAAAGGGCTACAAATATACTTCGATCGAGCAAGGGTAAACAATGGCCGGAAAAGGAAGCAGGAAAACCGTCACGAAGCAGCCTGCTTTATACTTGACTGCCTTGCAAGCGCGCCTCACGATTTTATTGAGTTCTCGGCGGAGGTTCTTTACGCTGGACTTTCCAGAGTGTTCCCGGATGCTGGCTCCCTACTTCTACAAAACTGTAGCAGCGTCCTTCATCACTTGATGCTTCACAGGGTGGGATTGGCGTTGGGCGTTCCGCAGTGGATTAACGACTACTCCACTTTTGAAGCTGCAAGTCATGCAGATGAGAGCTATCGGGATAGCTCTTCCGCCTGTGAGAACCACTTCAAGAAACCGAGGCGTGACGAGACCGTTTTGTCTGAGCGACAACCGGGTAGTCAAGCCCGTTCTGTGAAGAAGGAGGTGGCTGATATGTCGGAAGAAAGCCTCGATAGTGATGCGAGAGAAGTGGTACGAATGATACGTAAGGACGAGTTTGGTTTCGAGGAACAAGACGAAGTAACTCAGTCTGGACTACTTGCGAAGCAGCATGCTCGAATGGGCCGTGCCTTGGAGTGCCTTTCTCAGAATTTGTATTCGGAAGATTGTCACTTCATCCTTGAGCTGGTACGCATTTTCAAAGGCTTTTCTTTTCTTTTCATGGTCTTCTGTTTTTTGGTTGTTTGTTACCCAGGTGCAAAATGCCGATGACAATAGCTATCCTCTGAACGCCCATCCCACACTCGCTTTTATCATTCAAAAAGACCGGATCGTCGTTTTAAACAATGAGAAGGGCTTTACAGCGAAGAACATCCGTGCTCTTTGTGATGTCGGGAAGTCCACAAAGAAAGGGGTACCTGCAGGCTACATTGGACACAAAGGAATAGGATTCAAATCAGTCTTCAGAGTAAGTCAGTTTTAGGTGCTTTGCTGTTGATTGACGATTATCTTTTCAGGTCACAGAGTCTCCACAAATACATTCAAACGGCTTTCACGTCAAGTTCGACATATCAGAGAGCTCTATCGGCTTTATCTTACCGACGTGGGTGCAGTCTCCTCTTGATAACGCTTACCTTGAGAACGTCCTTTCACAAGCAACTGGAGAAGATACCTGGTGCATCAACACTCGTATCGATCTTCCTCTTCGGGCGTCCGTAGTCGAGGCCAACTCTATGTCACGCATGTTCCAAGACGTACAACCCAAACTACTACTCTTCCTTCACAAGCTGCGAACGGTTGTCGTCAAGAACGAAGCATCGGATTCGTGCTTGACCATGCGTCGTCAAGATATTGGAAACAACATCATCAAGCTGACAGATGGAAGGAGCACAGGTACTTTTCTCGTCGTGAGGCAGCTTCTTGACGCGCCTATGGATCGGGCTGGGGTTCCGGACACTGAGCTTGCTCTTGCTTTCGAGCTGAAGGAGAGCCGTGATGGACACTACGCGGCACTTGCCGTTCAGCAACAGGTGTTCGCCTTTCTACCAGTACGCTCTTACGGGCTGAAGTTCGTCGTACAGGGCGACTTCATTCTTCCATCTTCACGGGAAGACTTGGACCGGGACAGTGCATGGAACCAGTGGTTACGTGCTGAGGTTCCAAAGCTCTTCCTACAATCACTCCACTGCTTTCAATCATCTGCAGTCTTTGGAAGCCGCATTGAAGCTATATCAAGCTACTTGAGCTACGTTCCCGTTGAAGGCGAGGTGCTTGGTTTTTTCTCTTCGGTCCCGAGGATTATTCTATCCTTGCTACGAGCTGCTCCTTGCCTGCCTGTTGAAGGTTCAGAGCTCTGGTCGCTGCCATGCACAACCTTGAGAGGATGGGGCGACGCATTTCGACTGCTGGTACCCGATGACATGCTGAAAAAGTATTTGGGACTGCTCTACCTTGACAGAGAGGTGATCATCAGCGATATTCTTGCATCGGCCTTGGGAGTTCCGGAGTATGGAGTGGAGACGCTGGTTGGCTTGCTGAAAGCTGCTGCTAAATCGCTGGACGACCTGGGAATAGAATGGCTGCGAAGGTGTCTTGTGGAAATCCACAAGTGCTTTGCCTACGAGAAACAGAACTTTGTACATCAGGAGCAGAAGGTGGCGGGAACTCTGCGAGGTGTTCCTTTCATTCCTCTATCTTCTGGCGGATTCACATCACTAGAGGACGGACTAGTTTGGTTCCTTGATGGCGAAGGTTTACAGGGACACTCTAAAGATTTCCTGGACCTCTATTCGGACATTAGAACCGTGAGTCCGTTCCTTATCGACGAGGAAAGCACCGCTGGTACTATAAAGGAGATGCTTGTGAAGCTGGGGGTTAAGGTGGTGACTGCGCATGAAGTTATCAAGAGCCACGTTTTACCAGCAATGGCAAGCGTGGATTGTCTCGAGAAAGATCCATCACTTCTCCTGCAGTACCTGGCTTACTGCGCCTTACACTTTGACAAGCTCGACAATTGCCGAAGCTGTCAAGCAGAGAAGGACGGACTTTTATCTCAGCTCAGGAATACAGCGATTGTTCTCACTAAGGACGGCCTGCGCAGCGTCGCTGAACACAGCATACACTTCGGCAAGGAACTGGGCAACATTGTCGACGTCGAAAAATTGCTCGAGGATGCTCCAGTGCCATGGTGTGAGGTTGATAGCAAGTACCTCCAGTTCAATCCATCACCGGCGTTTTGGCGGAAGTTCTTCATGTCGCTGGGAGTCAGCGACTTTATCAACGTGCTGCCGTCGAAGGTGAGGGTCGGGGATAAATCATCTACCGTCTGGAAGAACGAGAGTTGGAAGCACGCGGATGGGAACACTGCCTGGATTATACAAGACTGGGGATGCGCCGACTCGTTCCGCATATGCAACGCTCTTGCACGGAGTGGAAGGCCTGAAAATTGCAGGCTTTTCCTGACGGTGTTGGACAGTATGTGGGATGAGCACTACGATCGGTTCTCGAAAGGCAGCTACAGTGTGGAAGGTGCTCCCAGCATTGGTGACGACTGTGAGTCGTCTTTTGTTTTGCAACTCCGAGGGTACACTTGGATCGGTTCCAGCTTGGACCATCAACTTCATAAGCCAACGGAGCTGTTTCACAAAAGCGTGGAATCGATGCTAGGAAGCTATGTTTCCTATGCCCGGCCTCAGGTGCGTAGCATTCGTAAATTTATCTCGTGTCGTACTAGTTCATGTGCAGGTTGGTAGTAGCAAACTGGCAAAAGCTTTGGGTCTACATACAGAGGTGCGACTGGAGGATATAATAAATTTAATGAAGCTGCTCAATGAAAGAGAAAAAGAAGGAAGCTGTTCAATCAGGTACAACTTTGTTTTACTCCATGACGTTTCCTAACAGTATGTTGTATTTACAGCATTGGCCAGATGGAAAGAGTATACACGTTTTTGTGCGAGAAAATGGACAAGCAGGAGTTGCAGAGGCAGTTTGAATCTTCTACTTACATATTTTTACCTTCCGTTCGAGTGACGAGAACCAACGAAAATGTCACTGGAAATCTTTATTCAGCTGCACAGGTTACTTGGGAAGATCCGTTTGGTTTTGACGATTCGACGGATGGGAAAGTTCCTGTCAGAACACTTTGCCACGTTTACTCAGCGGAAATGCGAGATTTCTTCGTCGAAGGATGCTGCGTGCCTGACGTACCTGACTTCGATGCTTATATCAGCATACTCCAGCACATTGCTGGAACCGTGCCACCTTCTAAGATCCTTGACAAGGCACGTAAAGAGCCCGTTTCTTTTTACTTGTTATTAAGTGTGTTTTCCGTGTTTCTCCAGGTTCTGGAGCTTTTTGCTCATTGGTCGCGAGAACTTGACAATGGCAAAATGAAACCGGAAGAGCTGGATCGTCGAACGAATGCGTTGCGAGCGAGCGGTGCTCCCATTTTACCGACAACGCAGAACACTTGGACGGGTTTGACAGATGCGGACCGCATATTGTGCTGGTGTGACGATGCCAAGCTTGTTGATGCGTTCGACTACTTAGACAGTGCAGTCAAGTTCGTGGATGTCGGGAGATCTTCAGCTCCGATCATGTCCTTCTTGACGGGAATCGGAGTATCTCGCTTTTCGGAGGTAATGTTGTGGATTATGAATTGCTGTGTTGGCTAATGCTTCAATGTCGCAGGTAGTTGAAAAGGAAGCCATTATTTATGGCCCAAATAGCTCGCCAGAGCTTGAAAACATCATTTCGCTGGTTCTTCCATATGGTCAGAGGTATTTGATACAGTTTCATCCGGAGAATTACAGACGCTGCAAGGAAGATGGGTGTCTTCGTGAATTTCAGTGCTTCATTGTGGACAGGCTGTTTTCGCGGTACAAGCTTAAGTCGACAGGATTTTTTTCGCGTCACAGGATTCCCTGCAATTGCTTACTAGAGGTAAGAATGATTTTTCTTTTGGTACTTACATACTATGGTTTGTGCAGGACAATAAACTCTATGTTTCTTCCACGCATATCCAAGAGTATGCTTCCATTTTTCTAGAGCTCTCGCGTCTTTTCTTCAGTGGCACGCAACACACGCCTCTAGCCAACTTCTTGCACTTGGTAGCACTTCAAGCCAAGGGTCTGGCGGACGATGATGATTTGGAGTCTCTGGTTTCAAGCTCGCAGAACCTGATGCCTCTCCCTACGGAAGAGGCGCCCTGGAAGCTGGGAGGGAGCCAGAGGCACAACCCGAGCACGTCAACCATGGCAGCCCGGGCCGACGAGTTTCTCGAGCGGCAGAGAACAAAATCGAAGACCGCCAGGCACTCCATCGAAGCTCCCGGCGATAGTGCAGTGCTCCAGAAGCAGAATGTAATCGATCTGGACGACTACAACTTCACTGAGCAGCAGGCAGACGACGCTCAAGAGCTCAGCGTGGTCGACCGCGACAAGCTCGTATCATCACGTCCGGCAAACCGGGAGCAGCAGGAAGTTACTGGAAGAAACGGCGAGAAGATGGTATACGAGCACCTGTGTAGGAAGCACGGCCAGGACGCCATGGTCTCGTGGGTGAACGAGGAGGTGGAAACGGGCTGTGCTTACGACATTGTGGTGGAGTGGTCGGACGGGCGGAAGAAGTTTGTGGAGGTGAAGTCGACAAGATCGAGCAGCAAGGATTGGTTCGAGTTATCTCCCTGGGAGTGGGAGTTTGCGAGCAAGATGGGCGATGGATACAGCATCATCCGGATCCAGATGCTCCAGAACAAGCAGCAGGCTCGGCTTATGACGTTTGACAATCCAGTGCAGCTGTGCCGAGACAAAGTCTTGCAGTTGGCCGTGCTGGTTCCACATTCATAGGAAGATATTCTTTTAAACCCTTCCACTCCATATATTAACTTATTTGCTTCAAGGTTGATTCGAAGATGAGAAGATCAGGATGCTTTCTTGCACCTTTGTGAGTTACGTATGATTTATAAAATACCATGCAAATTGACACTTGAAGTTTATAGTACTGGCTATCACCCATGGGCGCTGGCTGATGCATAGCTGTTTGTGCCGCTCTTGCTTTTGTGCCACCGCGCTTGCCGTCGGTTACCAGCTGGGCTTTAAAAGGTTTTAGCGCTTTTCGTAGAGGCAACTCATTAACTCACCAAGCGCCACTTCCAGATGCGAGTGCCCTTTCTCGGCATAATCAAAGCCAAGTTTTCAAAAATGTGATTGCCAGAGGGAGATGACAAGCTGACCCTGGAATGGATGACAGGCGGTTTACCGTTAGTCTTCAGCTGAAAGTCATCTGAAAGCGGCATTCCAGCGGCGCGCCAGTCTTCCTAGCTGCGTCGTCGGTAGCCGCTATCGATCATGCACTTCGTGCTTTGGCTCCGGCACCACGTCATACGTTGAAGCCCAGCACTCCCACGCAAGCTAAACACTTTCTCGCAAGCTCCCTGGCTCCCAGCAGCTCCAATGAAACGTGAGCATGGACCAGCCTTCCCGTCTCCAAGGCTGCCATTGCTGCACTGGGTGTCAGCTTCTGGAGTGCTCTCGTTCTGCTACCGCAAGCTTGGGTTCCCCCCATCCATCAGGCTACCGCAATTGGAGTAAAGTCGAAGCTGCGGCAGCGAGAGTGCAAGCTCATTAAGCCCATCGCCAGCGTATGATGTGGTGTGGCTGGTACTCGGCTACGCGGAGAGCGACGAGGCCGAGCTAGTAGCTTTGGAGCTCATCTGGTGCACGCCACGAGAGCTAGGCCGTCTTCCGAGCTCTCGGACGTAACGGGACTGGCAACGCAGTGAAAGCTGGTGAAAGCCTATTCGATTGCACGGAGACTTGGCTCTTGTCGAAGATTTTGACCACACTTGGCATACATCACCACTATGGGCATGAAGAAGTCCGAAGAGTAGCCGAACTTTACTGCCATCTTCGCAGCCTCGTTGTTTGTGCATCCCTGGATCATGCACATCGTCTCAAACAGGCTGAAGCTCGGCTTCCAATGTAGACATACAATCCGACACAAGGCCCAGCTGCACGCCTAGAGCTCTCGAGAGTCTGGGCGTTGACATGACCTGGTGCGAGCTCTTATCAGAGAGTTCCAAGACACCATGCACCTCGAGAAAACAGCGTAAGCCTCTTGGCCACAGCCACCTTTTGCATACATACCCCACAAAGAGGTAGGAGTCCCAGCTACTAAAGTGTGAAGAGCTCTCTGCTTCTCAGAGCCAAGTCAGGCCACCGCCACAAAACTCCTGAACGAGCACCAGCTTCGTTGGGGAGGCTTGCTATTCCTGCGAGTTGCAGTGGAGCCTAGGAGCCCCAGCAATCCCACCAGCACTGCTACATTGTGATCATTGGGTCCACAAGGCAAGAGCATTAAATTTCTATATCCCCTGTGTGGGCAAATGCTGTTAAGTTGCTATTTCTTGGGATATGATGATGTTGTTTAGTGCTTCTTCACCCCATTAATGCAAAAGTAACACTATTGTTAAGACTCTTGTTTGTAGGCATCAATAATTTTTTGCCCAGTGGAATGTTCACTATGGTCTTGTTGATGAATCCATCTACAAGCCAAAAGGTCTTCTAGTTAACTGCAAAATCACTTAACACCAGTAGAACTTCTTTGGTGCTCTTGTACAAGGCTAGGAACTCTGCCTTGCTCTGGCATTCTTGCATCTGCCCAGCAAAAATTTCCACCTTTTTAGCTTCAAAGCTTTTGATACCATCAATCGGAACACCTCCTTTGATTGTAGCTTTCTCGCAGGTAGCAGCGTCAGATGTTCCCGAAAAATTAGCCAAAAAGTCTGGAGAGCCATAGATGGACAACCACGTTTGATCGTTGGTGGCTTTAAACCACCTATATTCAGGAGGGACAAACATGTTATCAGGGGACGTACGTACGCCTTGGACGAACCAAATGGAAAGCTCAATCGATTCCAGGGAGAGCTGGATCGCCTCCAAACGCGTGGCCAAATCGTCCCTCGTCTTCTTGGGCGTTTTTATAGCCAATCGCTAATCATGGCGGTGCTTTTGACTAGTGCCGGTGGATACATGTGGAAGTGGTGGTTTAGCGGCGGTGCGGCAGCCCAATGGGAAGCTGTTAGCGCGGCTCACCCACAAGCTCGATCTCTAGTAAGTTCTAGCAAGATCCGGCCCTAACTTTGCGTCTTCTTGCAGCACGGTGCAGTCGTGCTCAACGAAAAGCTTTATGTTGTTGGGGGACGCTGTGAGGACAAATACCTGAGCGATGCGCTGGTAAACTTCTTCTGGCTTGGTGTTTCGCTATGATGTCGTGAATTTTTCCGCAAGGTTTTCGATTTGAGAAACTCGACTTGGACTCCACTTCCATCCTGTCCTGTGTCTTGTGCCGGGCATCGCTTGGTGAGTTACTGCTCAAGAGCTTGGTGAGTTTTCTTCACGGTGGCTAACACTATCTATCAGGTTGCAAGAGGAACAACGCTGTTTGCTTTCATTGGGATTCCATCAGACGAAAGATTGCGAGGTATACACAAGGTTTGAGGCCTTTCTGGCTGAGTCTGACTCTACTTGTGTAGTGTACGAGTTTGATGCGATAGAATGCGTGTGGTCACTTTTACCAGTGAGTGGAGAAGCTCCGGTAAGGGGTCTTGTTGTTCCTTACCACTTGAGAAATGTGCTTTTTCCCTATGATGCTATAGCCTGGAACGCGCGGTCACTCAGCTACCTTGGTTGGGAGCAAAGTATGGGTGTATGGTGGCGAGGATTTTCACGGTCGAATGCTTCACGACGTCCACGTCTTTGATCTGGATACGAAGGAGTGGGAACGTGTGGTTACAAGGTCCGAGTTGTTTGTTCATGTAACCTCACCTCGTGATCTTCTTTCGCTGTTCATAGTGCCATGCTTCCACCGGGGCTTTGTTTTCATGGCGATGCTTCCTTCAACAGCAATTATCTCTACCTTTTCTCTGGCTGCGACCATAAGCTGTACACGTTGGATCTTAAAACTGTGAGCAAGCCACGGTTTTTGCCGAGAACTCACTGGTGAGTCGCTGTTGCGCAGAAACAATGGTCGTCCGCGCCCCTGGAGTTTCCTGCTGCGCCAACGTCCATCGCTGCGGCTACTGGATCTGGAGACGAATGCTACATCGTTGGTGGTAGGCGATTCTAATTTCTATATCATTTTCACCAATGTGCTTGCATACAGGCCTGGTTCCTCAAACGATGCTGTTGAACATGAAGGCGATGAAGTGGACTCCCGTGTGCGTGGAGCCTCGGCTGCCTCGCGAGGTATCATTCAGACTTCGTGTGCGTGAGACGCTTTTGAACGGCAACTCACATCACTTGCAGGGCCTGAGCCTAGTGTACGCGAAGATCAAAGACCAAGCTTGTCTCATTGCGTCGGGAGGTGATCACGGTGAGGTATGTGATGACCAGCTCTTGCCAGCACGATTTGAGGCATTTTCCCTGCAGCTGAACGTGTTGAAGCTCGATACCATGAAGTCCTACCCGGGTACGCCACCCAAAGCAGATTTGCCAAGCTACTGCCGCGTCAGGGACAGGGATGGCTCAGTTCTAGGGACTGTCTCCGTTCCGGAAGGAGGAAAACCGGTAGCGGACGTTGTAGGAGCCATTGAACATCTGACGGGTCAGGCAGGTCTGCTGCAAAGGAATGGAGTGGCTCTGACTCGGGGCGATCTGGTCTATCCCGGAGAGGAGCTAGACTTTTACGGCGTGCTCAAGCCTGGCAACTTGGAACTGGAATCCATGGATCTATGCGCCTGCAAGCGTTTCTTGTCCCGGATGAGCGTCACGGTTATGAGGGGAGAAGGATGGCTAGTGCCTCTGATGGAATTTGACGCAGAGCCCTTTGTGTGGACGTGGGGTGTCACACGAGACGCCACGATGAGCTATCTGTGGCAGCACGGTGTGCCGAGGCACAGCATGCTGAGAGTCCAGTACCTAGTGAACCTTGACAGGGAAAGGGAGCACGTATCGTGCATCTCCAACGCAAACTTTCCATTCAAGCTCGAGTTCGAGCTCCAGACAGTCCTGGGGAACGTCCTTGGTGAGGGCACCGCGATCGGTTTCTGGATGGAGGAAACGATGAGTGACGAGCTGCTCTACAAGGCTATGGTGGCTTGCCTGGGCTTGAACATCAGGAACCCAACGCTCAAGCCGTGGATGGTGGTGTCGGACCTCAAGGACGAGTGGCATTTTGCGTGGATGAACGGGAAGAACATGTTCGTGTGCAAGGCGTCCAGCCGGAGCCAAGGAATTGGTATCATTCGCGACCTCGGCCACGATTACAACCGGGTCACCAACAACGAGGTTCCTGGTCTGTTTTCCAACTTGCCGGCGGTGACCAGTCGGGATCCAGTGCGCGTGGTGTGCGAGAACCCCGTGCGCTCGCGGCCGTTCCTCTACGGGAGGGGCGTGAATGAAGCTGGTGAGGTCGAAGTGTGGAAGCTGGATGGTAGCCTGCGCTGGACGATCACCCAGGAAGAGGCTGACGAGTACAACATGCTTTGCGCAAAGGCGGGTGACACGGGACTGTGATCAGGCATCAGTATTTAATTAGAGAGTGTAATTATTAGAAATTTCTCGCTTCCCTCCAACACAGACGAGATCCAATGCTGCCTAGCATTTATCACAGCCTTTATTCTAAAAGCATTTTGATGCATTCTCTTTTATTTTAAATTAAAAGTGTGAGGTTTGGCTATAATGCATATTAGTGTGGTTTTAATTCAATAAATACATTGGTTTTAATATAACAATCTATTAAAGAACCACATGAACATTCCGTTCCTATGGAAAATAGCGAATAACATTATGAAATGTGTTGTTATAACAAATTTCTATTGTGTTCAAATGCTCAACCCAATTATATTAATTTGCCATGACATAGAGCCATAAATAATCTTCAACTTGAGCATTCACATGTTTGATCTGCCCATAGATTTGAGGATGATAAATTGTACTAAACTTCAACTTAATACTGAATAATTGAAATAATGTGCCCTAAAAATTTCACAAAAATCTTGATCTAAGATCATCTTTTTGGAACTACAAGCTCACGATGGAGCTCTTCAATCAAATGCATGACAAGAAGAAATGAAAGCCAAACAGGATCACTTTCACATCGGTTCTCTCTCAGCTTGCAACCATGCGGAGCTGGTCAAGATGGCAATCTTCTTGTCCACTACGTTCTCAACATACCCGAGTATCAGCGTGTTCCAGAGTGCCAGATTATGGACTGGCAAGTGGTTGAAGAGCCCCTGAGCGTCCAATAAACTTCCACAATCTGTGTAACCAAGCTCTGGCTGGCCGTTTTCCAAGTACCCCCCAGCATCAACGAAACCAGCAAAACCAGGTCATCCTGCAAAAACTCACCCACACCCAACTATAGCGTACATGTCGATCAGTGAGCTGACCACGAATATATCTAGCTTGAAGCTTGAGATCCATGGCGTCGCTGTTTTCACGAACCATCTTCCAACTCTTTGCTGCCTTTCCCTTGAGAGCAGCAACAAAGGTCCTGTCATTTGGAGCCACACTTCTCTGCTCTTATCCATGACAGTGGTGCCTGTAAAGCCAGTGCCTCTTCCCCGTTTTCCAGCATCAGTGCCGTCCAAGAGACCACACTCTGATAGCCATCCATACAAGCTCACCAGCGTGTTTGCAACGTAGAGATCGTGCCCGCTCTCCGCTGCATCGCCATGGATTTTCTTCGTGAAATCCACATCGCCGGAGCTGCCACACGCCTTCAACGCCGCAACAAGGACGGGAATCGCCACAATCTTCGCCTCTTGCTCCCGTCCCAGGCCTTAGATCACAACCAAGTCGAAATCGCGAGAAATCTGCAAGAACAAGACGCACTGAGCGGAACTCTCCAGAAAGAACGCACCGATAGCCTACATTTTCCGCCAGAGGGAAGGGAATTTCTGGCACATCCTCCAATCGAGCGGCATCTTAGAGAAACCCTCCCTTTTTTAATTTAAGTGGATCGGATATGTTTCTTGACAATATATGGGCAACTCTTATGTTGCCAATTTTAACAAATATTAGTTAGCTAAAAAATCTTAACTAAAAGCATTTTAGGTAGCTTTTAAGTTTTACACGTGGCACTTTTTGTGGCGCGTCAAATGGCTATGGATGACGATGAGTGTATGAATCAATGGCTGCCAGTGTGGCGGGACTCGCTTCCGGCCGCCAGGAACTCGCATTTGGCTTCACTCGCGTCCACAGGAGCAGCGCCAGCCGCCTGGTGAGCTTCAAACCGGCGCGTTTGATCACAGCTTGCGCGGATGATCCCTCCAATTCTTCCACAGGTTCGCCCAAGCGGCAGCCGGAGCAGCCGCCACTGTCGCTCAGCCTGGAGAATGTGAACCCGGTGGATCTGGGTCGAAAGTCGAGGAAGGCTTTCGACGATGTGTGGCAGCGGATCAAGGATCTGGGTCAGTTCACGGGCTCGTCCAGGCCCCGGGATGGGGATGACAATGTGCTCGTTGGCGGCCCAATGTGCGAATTCACCATCCCAAACGCCGAGTTTACGACGCTGCTGGTCGTGGGAGCTACCAGTCGCGTTGGCCGGGTTCTCATCCGGAAGCTCCAGCTGCGAGGATACAAAGTTAAGGTAGAGTCTCTTCTCCTCTCGGCATTTGCCTTTAATGGGCAAATGTTTGAGGCATTTTGGTTTCTCTAAAATTCATTCTTTTGTGAAGGCTTTGGTACGAAATGCCGATCCCGAGACTTTGGAGATGCTGCCTCGCTCGGTACAAATCGTTGTGGGCGATCTGGGAGAGCCGGAGACGCTGAAAGCAGCGGTCGAAGGTTGCAACAAGATCATCTGCTGTGCCGCTGCGCGATCATATATTACTGCGGACCTCTACAGAGTTGACAACAAGGGGGTCCAAAATCTATCAACAGCATTCCAGGTTTGCGTAAGCTTGCTTTGCCAGAAGTTCTCATGTGTTTTTGTTTGTGTGCGTAGGATTACAATCACAGGTTAGCACAAACTCGTGCTGGGCGGAGTAGCAAGAGCAAACTTGTTGTGGCGAAATTCAGCAAGGCAAAGGAGGTGGATTCCTGGGAGATGAGGAGAGGTGAAGCTTTTGGTGGCTACGATCCCTCCTCAAAGTATCAGGTGAATTTTGGTGGAACTTTGGACGTGGATGAAAACAACAATGCCGACTTCTCAGGTACGTGTTTTGTTACCAGTGAGTAGCAAAGAGTTATGGTTTCTCGTTGTCTCAGGGTTTGTACCCAGCAGAGGTGGCTACGTAGAAATGGTGAAAAGCTTATCGTTTCCTTCGGGTTTTACTCTTGACAGGTGGGAAAGTTTTGCGAAGTTCTCTCTTTTCTCATCTTCATTGTGTGGCTGGTTCCATTTCGTGCTTACAGATACGAAGGTCTAGTTTTATGTGTTTGTGGCGACGGTAAGATTTACAGCCTCATTCTCGAGACCAGTGGTGGAGAATACGACGCTCCTAGAAGACGTTACTATGCAAGATTCTTGACACGGCTTGGCTATAGCAGGGTATGGGTCATGGTTTACTTTCTCATTCACTACTCTCGTTTTGCAGATTAGAATACCCTTCACAAAGTTCAGGCCTATGAACGAAGAAGATCCACCACTTGATTTGTTCTTGGTGGATAAGCTGGCCATAAGATTTGAGCCGAGAAAACAAGTAAGCTCTAGAATGGTACATTAGTCGCTATAAAAGAAGTTTCTTTACTTTGTTAGAGATCTTCGTTTTTAGCAACAGGAGAAACTAGCAGTTTTAAGCTGCTAGTGGACTACATCAAAGCTCTCCCTGTAAGTGCATTTTGCATTCTACCTTTCGGTCCTTTTGATTCACACTGGTTCTTGTATTTCAGACGGGAGAAGAGACTGATTTCATTCTAGTCTCTTGCTCTGCAGCTGGGGTTGAGGGTCAAAGCAGAGAGAAACTTCTTAGAGCGAAACAGGTATTGCATGCTTCACAGTGCCTTTAACTTTCGGTTTTCTTCTTTCCAAATTAGGCTGGAGAAGCAGCACTGAGAAACTCTGGACTTGGATACACAATTATACGTCCTGGTCCACTCATGGTATTGGTACCATTTGTCTTGAAAACCTTTTTTACTAGATCATGGTTCAGGAGGAACCTGGGGGACAACGAGCACTAGTTTTTGATCAAGGGAATCGAATTACACAGGTAGGCTCTTCGTTCTTCTGTCTCTGTTTTCCAGGCAAAGCATCTCAAACTTTGCAAACGCAGGGAATCAGCTGCGCAGACGTTGCAGATGTTTGTGTCAAAGCTTTGCACGATCCAACAGCCAGGAACAAGAGCTTTGACGTGAGCTTCGATTTAAATGATCTTCTTTCCAGAGCTCTAAGAATTTATTTTTACAAGCAGGTCTGTTACGAGTACACTCCTGAGGCTGGACAAGGCTTGTATGAACTGGTAAAAAAGATTTGTTTACATTTGGCGAGTCCTTGTTCCTTTTGCCGATTTAACTTGGAGATTCATTCCAGGTTGCTCATGTTCCTGACAAATCAAACAACTATTTGACGCCAGCACTATCTGTTTTGGAGAAGAACACTTGAAAGATTTATGTAATAAATTGTTGAAAAATAAAAAGAAAAAGAAAAAAAAAAAACCATGTTTGTATACACATTTGTGTTTTGGTTGACTTCGCTTGTGTTTTGGGCGAGAACTCTCATCCAAGGTTCCAAGATGTTGCAGCGATTTCTTGGCCAGGTATCACTAGCAAATCCACACACTGCATGGATCTTTGCGGTGACACTCTACATTTCCATGGTCTTCGTCTTGCTGGCTTTTGGGATTCACCACTTGAAGAAGAACTTCTCTCTCGTGGCTGGACTTATTCTCACTGTTGTTAGCTTGGTTATGCTGGAACTCAACTCCCCTCCTTCCTGATTTCATGATCTTGATCTTAAATTCTCCCCAAAATCAATCAAACAATCCAGTTTTTCTTGCTTCAATGTCAAAGGTATTGTTCGTACTCCTGGCACTTCGTGATTTTAAATATTTATTTATTTTTATAAAGATTTTTGGTATGTACAGCGACGGTGCCACTGAGATATTGTTTGAAAATATCAAATCAGCTTCGTGACTTGTATAGTACCTTGGCAAGGAATTTCAAAAAAAAGAATAAATTCTAAAGCTTTTGAGCAAAGATTAAAAGTCTTGATCTTGCCTCCTGGCAGCATTGATATTATTTCTTTCCTTTTCATTTCTTTCTTGCTGTGTCGATGTTCATCTCCATTTTTTCTCGCTGATAGATATCCAACCCATCTCTCATTCGCCACAGTGCTAGTTTTGTCCATGTTTGTTAGGATCGCTCTCCAGGATGTCAGCAGATCCACTGTAGATCGCTGGAGTTGTTTTTGGAGTGGAGGAATATAGGATTTGCGTGATTGGAACTTTGGAGCTTGGCCATGGGTTCCTGTAGAATCTGAGCTTTTGGGTCTTTGGCTTCACAAGAATCCATATCACCATTTCATTTCAAATCTTTGCAGTTCTCTCTTTATTTTTTTTCTTTATTTTTTTTTTTTGCTTGCTTGCCTGCTTGCTTCCTTTTTGGATTCTCGAGAATGGGAAGAACGAAGGCCAGGTCCAAGAAATCCATTGAGGACGATGCCACCAACAATTTGGGGATGGATAACAGGGCAGCAGAAGCTCCAAGGAAGAGGGGCAGGCCAAAGAAAGTGATTCAACACGAAAGCGAAGAAGATCAACAAGAGAAAGAAGAGAAGCATGAAGAACAGGAGGGAGTTCTAGATGATCACTTTGATCCAAAGCCATTCTTTGAAGACAGTGGCAGCAGCAAAGATGTGGTTAATGCCCACAAGCAAGAACAAAACGAAGAAGCTCCAGCTCGCTTTCTTCCAAGAAAAAGGGGGAGGCCTCCCAAAGCCAAAGCAATAGCAGTAGCTCCAGAGCAGCAAGCCAAGAAGAAAGGATACAGTCGACGCAAGAGTGAGCCACACAGAGCCGCTGGCTTCGCTGCCAAATGAATCGACGATCGATCGATGCGATCGACAAATCAATGGAAAAATCCCGTTTTTGGATCCAAAATCCCAAAATCTTGCTTATTGTTTCAAACATACTTGTCGTATCGTGAGCTGCTTCCAATCCATCCAACCGAAAGTTTTCGATCAATCACTGTTACCTTTCGTTCAAACTAAGAAGCAAACAAAATAATTTTGATAAAAAAAAATTCGTGGCCGATTCCTCCATTTTAAAGCCGTGCAAGAAAAGGACTTCCTTTCGCAGTTAAAATATTGGTCTTGTCTTGACTTCCAGACGATGCCAATGATAAATGAGCTCCTCGCCATTCCAATCTCCAAAGCTTTCGATCACCAGCGATGCCGATCTTCACAGTGCCCTCGATCAGCTCCAACTCTCGAGCGACTGCTGCAACCTCTACGAGGGGATCGTCAAGTACTGCGGCAAAAGCAAGAATCTCTCGGCTGGAAGACGCGCGCACTCTCTTCTCCAACAAAGCTCGCTTCGATCGGACAGATACCTCGCTAATCTCCTCGTGGAAATGTATGGGAAGTGTGGGAATCTGGACGAGGCTCGGCGGGTTTTTGACACCGTCGCGGTGCCGAATGTTTTCTCCTGGACTCTCCTGTTCGTTGTATATGCCCAGAACGGGCATTTGCGTAAAGCTCGACAGATTTTTGAAGCGATGCCGGAGAAGGATGTTGCTGCCTGGAACGCGATGATGAACCTCTATGTTGAGAATCAGGACTTTGATTCTGCTAAAGAAATCTTTGATAGAATGAAAGCCAGAGATGTGTTCTCGTGGACTGCGATGATCACTGCATACTCGCACAGTGGGGATTTGGAGAGCGCAAAAGCTTGTTTCGATCGAATGAAGCGTCGTAACTCCGTTACATGGAATGCTATGTTAGCTGCCTACATACGAAATGGCCATACGGTAGAAGCCGAGTCTTTTTTCCGAAAGATTCCGCGGCCTGATGCTGTTTCGTGGAACTCAATCATATCCGCAGTTGCCAAATGCGGGGATTTGCGGCGAGCAAGACAACTTTTCGATCAGTCACCGGAGAAAAACGTCGTAACTTACAACACGATGATCACCAGCTTTGTTCAGACCAATCGTGTCGATCTCGCAAAGAATTTCTTCGATCGGATGGAAGAGAAAGACTCGGTTTCGTGGAACGCGATGATAACCGGGTATGCCCAAAGCGGCCATCTCGACAAAGCCCGAGAGATGTTTGATCGAATGCCCGACAGAGATAGAGATCCGGCGTCCTGGAACTCGATGATAAGCGGATACGCTCTTGAAGGACGCCTCGAGGATGCGAAGTTCCTGTTTGATTCCATGGCCGGGAAGAGAAACTTGGTGTCCTGGAACGCTCTCATCGCTGGCTACGGGCAGAATGGCTATGGAAAAGAAGCCATCAATCTCTTCAAGAAAATGGTGCTGGAGTTTCGATCGGAGCTTCCAAACAAGGTGACTTGCATCAGTGTTTTGGATGCCTGCGCGAGCAGCCTCTCGCTGAGCGATGGCCGAGCTATGCACGCCAGGATCTTCCTCTACGGCGTCCAGTCCGAGACAGTGGTGGGAAACTCGCTCATCAACATGTATGGGAAGTGTGGCTTGCTGGATCAAGCCGCGAGAATTCTCATCACGATGCCTCACGCCAATTCGATCTCCTGGAACACCTTGATCGGATCGTATGCTCAGCTCGGCCGCGCGGCGATCGCAATCCAGCTCCTTCCGCTCATGATCTGCGAGGGATTCCAGCCCTGCCAGGTGACTTTCTCGGGGGTTCTCTCGGCTTGCGGCCATGGAGGGCTGTGGAGCAGAGCGCGCGAGTTCTTCGTGTCGATGGTGGGCGATTTTGGGGTAGCACCCATCGCCGGGCACTACGCGTGCGTGATCGATCTTCTGGGCCGCTCCGGGCTGCTGATCGAGGCTCAGGATTTGCTCCAATCCACGCCGCAGGACGAGATCTCGTGCATGTCGATCGTGGGCGCATCGAGGCTGCACGGCGATTGCGGGATTGGATCCCGGGCGGCGCTGCGCGCGTCGCAAATCGATCCACAGAGCTCCGCGCCCTACGTGTTCTTAAGCTCTTTTTAAACTGGGTGGAATATGCTCCATCGACGGAGGGCGCCATGTTAGGGCACGCCCGTTCGCGACTCGAGCGATCGGAGCTGCTGATGGGCGATCGCAATTCTAGCTGGGATTAGCTTGCTGTGACGATCGATCGGTAGAACACACTGAGAAACTTGGATTTGGCGCAATGGGGCGCCGGAAATCAAATGTGATCCTGCGAGCTCTGTCGTGCTTGAAGCACCAGGCTGGGAGCAGCGTTCGCTCGCTATCCAAATTGCTAGGATGTCGGGCGCCGCGGGGCAGCATCAAGAAGCTCGCCAGGAAGAAGAGGATTTCTAGGGGCAATTCGGTGGGATTCAAGCTCGCATCCAGATCGATAAGCAGTAGCAAGCACTTGGAATCGAAGAGGAAGAAGAAGAAGAAGAACGATCACCACCGCAGAAGAAAGCGATCGAGGAAGAGCGAGCAGCATGATCACAAGCTCAAGCGGCGAAGGAGGCGACGACGAAGAAGACGAAGAAAACAAAAGGGAAGAGGCTCGCGCGGGAAATGGGGATTGCTGTGACATAGATTTTCCCTTCTATAAGTTCTCTCCTTTTGTCCCCTTTGGTGCCCAGCTATGGCGGCCATTTTGACCAAACAATGGCGTTTATTTAGGGTTTATCGCGTCATCACGTGGAGGAGAGAAGACGCGTTCCCGCCGCGCTGCCATGATGCTCGTTCCAGAGTGATGCGATCGCGGCAATCTCCAAGAGGCCGGCGCCATGAATCGAGGCGCGATTGGCAGCGTCGTCCTCGCCATCGCCTTGCTCGCCCTCGTCGCGAATGTATCGCACGCCGTGGAGGAGGATCGGTCGTCGGTGAGTGTCAGGGCTAGGGTAGCGCCGGATGAGAAGGATCAGGGATGGAGCGGCTCGAGAACAGCGGCATCGAGGGTTTCTGTGGCGACTGTGGCGATTCTCACGCTTGGAATGGCTGCCGCTACTGGTCTCGGTGCCGTGCCGTTCTTCTTCGTGGAGTTGCAAGCAAAATGGGCCGGACTGTGCAACGGGATCGCGTCTGGAGTGATGCTTGCCGCGAGCTTCGATTTAATCCAGGAAGGCCAGAGGTTTGGAGGAGGAAATTGGGTGGTGGCGGGCATTCTTTCGGGTGGACTCTTCATTCTCTACAGCCAAAAGGTTCGTTCTCCTCTAGAACACTGGATTTATTTTTCTAGAACACTGTCATCCTATTCTTTGCTTTCTTTCTCGCAGGTTTTGGAGAGGTTTGGGGACGTGAAGCTCATGGATGTCAAGGGTGCTGATGCAAGGAAAATGCTCCTTGTGATTGGTATCATGACGCTTCACTCGTTTGGAGAAGGATCTGGAGTGGGAGTTTCCTTTGCCGGACCCAAGGGACTCTCGCAAGGAATCACTGTGACGCTGGCGATTGCTGTGCACAACATTCCCGAGGGATTGGCAGTGAGTATGGTCCTTGCGTCGCGAGGGGTCTCGGCTCGCAATGCGATGCTTTGGAGTACCTTTACTTCTTTGCCACAGGTAATGCTTGATCTTTTGGTTGGTTTGCCAAACCTTTGACACGTTATCTTCTCTCTGGATACAGCCATTGGTAGCAGTACCAGCTTTTATCTGTGCGGAGGCGTTCCAAAAATTTCTACCTCTCTGCATGGGCTTCGCTGCGGGATGCATGATCTGGATGGTCCTGGCCGAAGTTCTTCCCGACAGTTTTAAGGTGACAGAGCAAACTCTAGAGACTCTTAGGCACGTCTAACGTTGGCTGCTATCCAGGATGCCGATGCTTCCGAAGTTGCCTCCGCGGCAACCGTCTCGATAGCTTTCATGGAGATTCTAAGCACAGTCATGGAAAGCGGAGCCAGGTATAACTACATCGTTTTTCACCAAAACCAGGGCGGCTTGACAGCTCTAATGTTTCCAGATGGAACAACACTGGCTCTGCTCTTCTCTGGTCACTGCTCTTCGGACTGGGGCCTTTCATCGGCGGCCTCGCTCTAGTTTCGCTCGTCGGCTCGATCAGATTACCTTACTCATTCTTTGGCTCAGTGGGATCCGGGATAGCACTCGTCCTGGCTCTCTGGAGGCCGTCACAGCTCTGGCTCTCGGGAAAGATGGACAGACTAGTTCTCTCGGGGCTCTTCTTCCTGGGAACTTGTCTATGGAGGCTGGCTCACCTGTGGGAAAGCAGAAGACCCCGGAAGGCCGAAGTGGAAGTTTTCATCACCAAGCCAAAGCAAGCCAGCAGCCTGGCTTCCGGGGCGATTCTAGCAGCAGGGACAATGGGCTTCCACGCTTTTGCGGAAGGCTTAGCTCTGGGTGTGGCGGCCAACAAAGCTTACGGCCTTGGAACTCATATGCTCTTGCCGGTTTGTCTCCACGGACTGCCGCGAGGGGCCGCTGTAGCGAGCACCATCTATGGAGCTACTGGAAGCTGGCAGCAGGCATTGGTTCTAGCAACAGTGACGGGATTTGCGAGTCCGGTGGGTGCGATTGTGGCGATTCTGGGAGGATTGAGCTACAGCGGACTAGATTTTTGGATGGTGGTGGCGTGTGGAAGCTTGGTTCCAGCGTTTGGTCGCCAGATTTTGGTGAGAGCTGCTGGAAGGAGGGGCGCGAGCAGCGTGGTGATGGGACTGGTGACTGGCTTTGGATTTGCGAGCGCGCTTCTTACCAGCACTCGAATGGTTTGTTTGTATACGCCTTACTGTAGCTCCGCTCCAGAAGCTGTGACTTAACAGCAATTTAAAGGAGCCTTTAAAACTTACCTAGGGTTCTTGGGTCTTAGGAAGAAGTGTGAGATGCCGCGGGCGAGGCGATCGGAGGCGCTCGTCCTTGCGCTGCTTCTGTCTTGCATTCCATTATGTAGCTCAAGTCGATCCGGCAGGAGCTGGAGGACGTGCTTGGATTCTGCGAGAGATTTCCTTCCCTTTCGGGGAAAATGTAAGCGATCGGTTCGTTCTTTCTTGGAGAATGCCGCTCAGTGCGTCTTGCTCTTGCAGATTTCTCGCGAAATGGCGAGGATTTCGGCGTTTCTTAGGATCCAGCAGGAGGAAGAGGCGAAGATTGTGGCGATTCCCGTCCTTGTTGCGGCGTTGAAGGCGTGTGGCAGCTCCGGCGACGTGGATTTCGCGAAGAAAATCCATGGCGATGCAGAGGAGAGCGGGCACGATTTCTACGTTGCAAACACGCTGGTGAGCTTGTATGGATAGTGTGTGGCAACTTGGTGGAAGCTGAGAGAGTTTTTTGCGGGGATGGTGGTTTCTTGGGCGGCACTGATGCTGGAAAACGGGGAAGAGGCACTGGCTTTACAGGCACCACTGTCATGGATGAGAGCAGAGAAGTGTGGCTCCAAATGACAGGACCTTTGTTGCTGCTCTCAAGGCATAGCAGGCAAGGAAGAAGGCAGCAAAGAGTTGGAAGATGGTTCGTGAAAACACGGACGCTGGAGAAAGGCATGGATCTCCATTCTCAAGCTTCAAGCTAGATATATTCGTGGCCAGCTCGGTGATCGACATGTACGCTATCGTTCGGTATGGGTGCCCGGACAAGTTTAAGCAGCATGACCTGGTTTCGTTGGTGCTGGGGTACTTGGAAAACGGCCAGCCAGAGCTTGGTTACACAGATTGTGGAAGTTTATTGGACGCTCAGGGGCTCTTCAACCACTTGCCAGTCCATAATCTGGCACTCTGGAACACGCTGATACTCGGGTATGCTGAGAACGTAGTGGACGAGAAGATCGCCATCCCTCTCTCGACCAGCTCAGCATGGCTGCAAGCCGAGAGAGAACCGACGCGAAAGTGATCCCGTCGTCACGCATTTGATCGAAGAGCTCCATCGCGAGCTTGTAGTTCCCCTGGCAGCTGTATCCCCCAATCAAAGCATTCGAGACTTCCAGCCGGAGTCGAAAGCATGCCGAGCTTCCACCATGCCTCCACACTTCCCATACGTGTCCACCAGCGCGGTTCGTAAAACGCAACCGTGGATCCATCTCACGGCCTCCAAAGCCAACAGATTCCCACAAGCCTCGAGTGCGGCCTTGAAGCTCTAGGAATCCAGCGAGAGATCTTCTTCACGTTGTTGTATCCTCGAGAAGAGCTCCAAGGCCACAGATGGTTCCCACTTGTGCGTGAGTGATATGCTCGGCCGACTTTCTTGGAGTAGAGGTTCTTCACGTACTCTCCAAACACGCACGGGACCACGGGTTGTAGGCTGCCGGATGCTCCGGGTCTAAAAGTTTGGGAATCGGAGAAACTCTAACGTCGGAAGATGGATCATAGAAGAGCCCGACCGACGCCCGAGATTTACCCGCGTTCAAGATGGTTCTCTTCAGCTTTGCATTGCGGAGTCTCAAAACTGTTGTTAAACTTGCCTGAAGCTGGTCGATAACAAGAGCACCGGGAATCGACCCGTGTCTTGGAACTTAACTTGGAGCCCCACGACATCATTTTCCTGCAAGAGAATGGGGAGACTGACTGCTCAGTCCGATTGCGAGCTCGGGGCTCGGGCAAGGAGGATAATAGTTGAGTTCCAGCGCTGCTTGGTGCTTACCAAATTCCCTCTCGAGATAGTCGGAGTCTAAGCCCAGACCCTCAGACAATGCTCGCAGGAGATGCCATGGCTTGATTCACAGCAACCAACCTGGATGATCCATAGAAAAAACTCTTTAGAGGAAGAAAATAATGCTGCACTTCGCGAGGACAAGAGCTTTGCCAAGCGCTTGGAGGACAATGGAGGATAAAATAAAAGGCTGGGGAACTAACTGTCTAGTGTGACCCCAAAGCTGTGAATTACATTCATAACTGTTCCTGTTAATTCCTTGATACCGGTTTGGGGTAGGATGTGAGAACATCACAGTGACTTTAGTCCACATAGAACACCAACAAGCAAGATTGATTTTTGATGCTTATCGAGCTCCTTTTGTTTAGCTTTACATGTAGTGGCAGCAATGACATATCAAATATCTTTCTCAGACACTTTCTAGCTGAGTATTTTAAATATTTTTATAAAGTATAGTTTAACTTCGAGATTCCATAAGATTAAACATCGAAATTCATATAAATAGGACGCTTTTGTATGATAGGACGCTTTTGTATGATAGACTTTGCTGACTGCAAATAGTCTTTGCTGTAAACTCCGGAATGCAAACACTCCTCAACGCCTATGAGTGCCTTCAGACTTTCCTCAGCCTTTGCCTCGAGCTAAAAAACAGCATATTACGAGCTTTGTAAAAAGTTAAAATTCTTACCACTTCCTTCTTGCCTTTGTTCTCCTTGTATTCCATTTCCAACCTGATCTGTTGACACTCTGCCTTTATCACCCCCTTGAGTGCCTCCCAACTTGCTTCGCTTATCACACATTTACCCTCGCTTTCTGACTCTAAACCACCGTTGTGTTTCACTCCCATCACTTGCTTCTTAAATTCAGGGTCTTCCAATTTCTTTATGTTATATACCCTCTGCCTGGGCATGGCGTTTATGAACCATTCCCTCACCTGTGCGTATACCAAAGTGAGAACAAAAACAAGACAATAATCACGCAATACACTTACGTAAAATCTACGCAGCCCTTCCAAAACAATCTCCCCATCAATCTCTCCAAACTTGAGCTCCCCGTCAACCAGCTTACACTCGCCAGTCCTGAGCCCCTCAATCGCCGGAGCGAAGTCATCCAGTTTGGCCAGAGCAGTGAGAAGCGGCACAAACCCTTCCAGCACTCGATCCTCCTCGTCCTCCCCATCGTACCGAGGAACCACAAAGCCATTGTTTGGCTGGAACAGCCAGTAATACTCATCATCATCAAGCCACACCGTTCGCTTGCAATCCCCGTCAACCATTGGCACGGAACGAATGTCTTTCAGAGACACGACTTTATCGATGCTTGGATCTCTATAAGACTTGCAATTGTCCCGGCAACAATAGTATAGAATCCGTCCCGAGGATAGCCTCTTATTTATATTGTCGACGATGCCACTACAATAGAACTCTGCAGAGCAGCTGAATACATAGAGATCATAGATGGCAGCCATGCTCTCCAGGAAAGGGATCAACCCAGGCCTCATGCCGATGTCATAGCCACCAGCCACGAAATCCGTGACTTTCGCGTTCTTGGAGATGAGGCAGTCGTCCAAGTCCAAAACCAGCGCTGGGCGTGCCATTGAACTTTTCAGACCCTAAGAGTGCCCATATATTTATGACTTTCTTCTGCCACGTGGCGTGCATCCAACGGCGGAGTAAGTTGGTATTGATATCCCATCCCTACCTAAAATAAAAAAGGGAAGGTTTCTCTTGTAGGCTATCGGTGAGAGTTCCACTCAGTGCGTCTGGTTCTTGTAGATTTCGGGATCTAAGGCCTGTGAAGGCGTGTGGCAGCTCCGGCGACGTGCATTTCGCGAAGAAATGCCATGGCGATGCATCGGAGCGGGCATGACCACGATCTCTACGTTGTAAACGCATATGGAACTTTGGTGGAAGCTGAGAGAGTTTTTACAGGGATGGGGTATTGCAGTGTGGTCTCTTGGATACTGATGCTGGGCTACGTGGGCTACGTGGAAAACGGGGAAGAGGCACTGGTTTTACAGGCACTGTCATGGATGAGAGCAGAGAAGTGTGGCTCCAAATGACAGGACCTTTGTTGCTGCTCTCAAGGCATGCTCCGGTCTAGCGGCCAAAGAAGAAGGCAGCAAAGTTGGAAGGTGGTTCGTGAAAACAAGCGCTGGAGAAAGGCACGGATATTCAGTCTCAAGTTTCAGACGAGCTAGATATATTCGTGGCCAGCTCGCTGGGTGCCCGGACAAGTCTCGAGCGGTTTTCGAGAGAATGCCGCAGCATGACCTGGTTTCTGGGATACGTGGAAAACGGCCAGCCAGAGATAGCTTTGGTGCTGTTTTTTTCTTCGAGCTGCGCTGAGAATGAGCCGTGCTACGTTGCTGCTCTCAAGGGTTGTAAGAGTTGGCATCGAAGGAGCAAGGGACGAAGCCTGTGGAAGTCCTGGAGATGGGGATGGAAATTTACTCCAGAGCTAGAAGCAGTGGGTTTGACTCCGTCGTGTCAGCAACACTCATCGGTTTATATGCTGCGTGTGAGACCATGATCGACGCTCGGAAGGTCTTTGACAGGATGGAGCAAGTCTCCTGGAATGCTCTAATACTTGGTCAGATGACCAAACTCTAGATCCTTGGAAGAGAACCTGTGGTCGGGGGTCTTGGCATAGAAATCGCTGTGCTTGTGCCATAAAATTAAAGAGAATCCATCAATATGCTTTTAGAATAAAGACGGCTTTAAAATCTATGTTCGCGCCCAAATGGCACGAATCACTGCTGGGCGGCATTTAGCTCCTCTTGATCTCGTCCGTGTTGGAGGGAACTGCATTTGTCTGGATTGATCGTCTCAAACTACAGGATGCTGTCGAACTTTACACCAGCAGACTTCCTTTCTGGATATGTGTGAGAACATCACAGTCCACACGGAACACCAACAAGAAAGTAAGCTTCTGCTTATCGCGCTCCTTTTGTTTAGCTTTAGCTTTACAGGTAGTGGCAGCAATGACGTATCAAATATCTTTCTCAGACACTTTCTAGCTGCAGATAGGAGTATTTTAAGAATATTTGTGTAAAGTATTAACAGCTATGGGGCACGAAAACAAAGTTTAACTTCAAATTGTCGGGACATCATCAGGTTTGTCTCCATGGACTCCCGCGAGGAGCTGCTGTAGCGAGCACAATTAATAAGCGCGAAGAGCTTATATTATTGGTTCTCAATTAAACCAAGTAGAAAAAATTGAAATAGGACGCTTTTGTATGATAGACTTTGCCAACTGCAAATAGTCTTTGTTGTAAACTCTGGAATGCAAACACTCCTCAACGCCTTCGAGTGCCTTCAGACTTTCCTCAGCCTTTGCCTCAAGCTAAAAAAACAGCAAATTATGAGCTTCTCTTTGAAAAAGGTAAAAATTTCTTACCAGTTCCTTCTTGTCTTTCTTCTTCTTGTATGCCATTTCCAAAGTAATCTGTTGATACTCCGCCTTTATCACCCCCTTGAGTACCTCCCAGCTTGCTTCGCTTATCACACATTTACCCTCGCTTTCTGACTCTAAACCACCATTGTGTTTCACTCCAATCACTTGCTTCTTAAATTCAGGGTCTTCCAACAGCTTTCTATCCTTACACCTGAATTTTATCCACAGTGAATTATAATAATCGCTCTGCATGAGCATGGCGTTTATGAACCATTCCCTCACCTGTGCGTATAGCAAAGTAAGAACAAAACACAAGACAATATACACTTACGTAAAACCTACGCAGCCCTTCCGAAACAATCTCCCCATCAATCTCGCCAAACTTGAGCTCCCCGTCAACCAGCTTACACTCTTCAGTCCTAAGCCCCTCAATCGCCGGAGCGAAGTCACCCAGTTTGGCCAGAGCGGTGAGAAGCGGCACAAACCCATCCAGCACTCGATCCTCCTCGTCCTCACCGAGGAACCACAAAGCCATTGTTTGGCTGGACCAGCCAGTAATACTCATCATCATCAAGCCACACCGTTCGCTTGCAATCCAGCCAGCAATCGTAATTGTAAAGATAAATGCGATCCTTGTCAACCGTTGGCACGGAACAAATGTCTTTCAGAGACACGACTTCATTGATGCTTGGATCCATATAAGACCTGCAATCGTCCCGGCAACAATATTTTCGAAATCCGTCCACCACTACAATAGAACTCAGCTGAATACATAGAGATCATAGATGGCGTCCATGCTCTCCAGGAAAGGTATCAACCCAGGCCTCATGCCGATCTTGACCACGAAATCCGTGATTTTCGCGTCCTTGGAGACGAGGCACTCGTCCACGTCCAAACGTGCCATTGAACTTTTCAGACCCTAAGAGTGTGATTAAGTTATAGTATATTGTCAAGAAACATATCTGATCCTTCTGATTGGAGGATGCCATCTGATCCTTCTGATTGGAGGATGCCAGAAATTTCCCTCTCGCGGAAATTGTAAGCTCCAGACACACTAGTAAGATCATGCAACTTTATTCTGTAATTGTTCTTTTTTTTTTTTTCGTTTGGTCGTCGCAAAATGATCGCATTATTTATCTCGCAAAAATATTACAGTACACACAAAAATGCACAAGATAGAACCACTCCTATATACTCACGCAGCAGCAGTAGTAGTGGCAGTGGCAGCGGCTGTAGGAGTAGTGTCACTCGAGGATCCCGTAGCACCAGTGAGAGCATTCCTGTTATTGTTATTGTTGTACCACGGATTCCAGAAGCTCTTCCATGTCGATGCTGGCGTTGGCGGCTTGGGCCTGTACCTCACCCTCACGTTCTTGAGCGAGTGCTCCAGCCTCTCGTTGTGCTCCCTCATGCAGCTGAGCGAGAAGCACAGCTGCCGGATCGCCGCTCTCTTCTCCTCGGCCATCTCCGAGCTCTGGAGCTTGTTCTCTTGCTCGAGAGCCACCACCTTGCTTGACAGCTGCGAGTTTGCGAGGGACATCCGCTGCCTCTCCGCTTGGAGAGCTTTCATCTCGCCCTGAAGCTTTACCAGTGCGTCGTCCTTGGCCTTGAGCGCCTGCTCGCTCTCGCTCACGTCCCGGCCCAGCGCCTTTGTCCTCTGCGTGATGCTTGAAACCTCGGCTCGCAGGAACATGAGCACTGTCACCAGCGTCTTGTTCTGCTTGTTCCCTGCCTCCACTTCCTCCACCAAGTTCCTGTTCTCCTGCTCCAGCACCGAGATCTTCTCTTCCAATCCTTGCACCTTCTCTGCCATGGACTCGAGCTTGCTGCGTAGCCTCTTGTCCTCTTCACGGAGCTCCAGTAACTCGGCATGCATCCGGTTGAGCTGCTCGGTGGCGGTTTTCAGCTGCTCTGTGACCTCGGCCTTGTCGTCCCGCAGCTTGATAAAGTCTCCTTCCAGCCTCTTGATTAAGATGTCCCGCTTGGACAGCTCGAACTTGAGCATCCGGTTCTCCTCCTGCACAGAAGCAAGCTCCTGCTGTAAATCACGTACCTTGTTGGATTCCTCCAGCAGGGTCTGGTTCTCGTTTTCTAGCGCCGCCAGCTTGTCCTGCATTGCGTGAACTCCCTCCACCTCCGCGGCTAGTTTATCTCCCAGGTCCTTGTTCTCCGTGTGAAGTGTTCGGACGACCTCTTCGAATTCCGTCACCTTCGTGTCCAGCTGATTCTTGACACCCGCCTTTTCATCCTCCAGCTTTTGCACCTCAGTGGACATGTCCTTCTCCAACACGTCCTTTTCTTTTTGCAAGCAGGCCAGCTCGTCGTTGAGCTTGACGATGCTCGTAGAGACCTGATGGTGCTCCTCCTTTACTCTTTGATACTCCGCATCCAGCTTTTCGTTCTTGTCTTTAAGCCCGGCAATCTCTAGCTGGAGGCCACCAATTCTCTGCTCGCTCTCGCTCGTCTTTCTGGCGTCCATTGCAACGAGTTCGTCTTTTTCGGACTTGAGTTTGGCGATCTGTTCCTCAAGCTCTCGAAGCTGAGCATCCTTGTTTGATATCTCGCTTTGCAGTTGTAGCTCCTGTTCTTTTAGCGCTCTATGGTTTGCTTGCAAGTCCGCCACATGCTTTTCAACAACATCCTGTCCAAGCGGCGCCCGTGTTTCCTGCTGCTCTTCAGGCTTCTCCATCCCAAAGAACGTAAGCAGCTTCCAGATCTCTTTTGATCTGGTCTCCTTGAATGCTTCGTAATCTCTTGTCATCACGGTCAGGTTCTCCTCCCGCTCCTTCAAGTGAGAGGCCAGCTCTGCGTGGAGCATGCTTGCCTTCTTTACCTCCTTGTTCAAGGAATCCTTCTCTTGCTTCAGCTTATCAATCTCGTCTTCGAGTTGCTGGATACGTGCGCCTCGACGCTCTAAGTCACTACTTAAGCAGGCTTCCCGTTCTTTGAGCTCCCCGTACTTCGACTGTAGTTCCATGGCTTTTTTCTCCACCTCGTCATGAGTCACATCTCGCTCCTCAGGCGGGCTATCATCCGCTCCAAACAAATACTTGAACAGGCTGAAAGACTCGCGCGACTTAGCTTGTTTGAAGCTCTCAAACTCAAGCTCTCTCGTCTCGTGCACCTCGGCTTTTTCATCCAGTAAAGCCTGTGTCTTCTCCTTCAGCTGCTTCATCTCTTCCAGATCACAGGCGCTTCGGCTCAACTTTGCTTTAAACTCTTCCTTCTCTTGTTGTGCCCTGAGGCGAGTCTGCTCCAATTCAGACTTGGTATCCACCAAGTCCGACTCCACGTTTTTCTTCCCGGCTTGAAGCTGTTCGTGTTCCTTTTGCAAGGATGTTAGCTCCGCATTGAGCTTCTCCATGCTTGCAGAGACACTCGCATGCTCTTCATTAGCCTTCTGTAAATCTGCGGCTAGTTTCTGGCACCTTTCTTCGAAATCCTTGACCGTGACTTCCAGCTCTTGAATTTTACGGTCGTAATCAGCTGTTTTCTTCGCCTCATTCTCAACACTCCTTTGATGCTCTTCATGCAGGTCACATTTTTCCTGTTTGAGCTGCCCGATCTCTCCCATGGCTTCCTGGAGTCGAGCATTACTAGCAGAAAGGTCGTCCTCCAGCTCCCGCTGTCGTTTCTCCAGCTCCAGTTGACTAGCTTGCAAAGCTACCTTAGTATTCTCCAAGTCCGACTCTGCCATCTTCTTCTCCGCCTGAAGCTGTTCGTGCTCCTTTTGCAAGCCCGCCAGCTCTGCATCGAGCTTTTGCACGTTTGCAGAGACACTCGCATGCTCTTCAGTAACCTTCTGAGACTCTGCTGTTAGCTTCTGGCAATTTTCCTCAGACTCCTTGACAGTCGCTTCCAGCTCTTGAAGTTTACGTTCGTAATCAACGGTTTGCTTCGCCTCCTTCTCAATACTCCTCTGAAGCTCCTCATGCAGATCGCTCTTGTCTTGTTTGAGCTTGCCAATCTCTTCCACAAGTTCCTGGAGACGAGCATTGCTAGCAGAAAGTTCGTCCTGTAGCTGCCGCTCTCGTCTCTCCAGCTCCAGTTGGCTACTTTGCAAGTCCACCTTAGTTTTTTCCAAGTCCGAATCTGTTTGCTTCTTCCCCGCCTGAAGCTGTTCGTGCTCCTTTTGCAGGCAGGTCAGCTCCGCAATCACCTTTTTTAGATTTCCAGAGACATCCCCGTGCTCTTCGGTAACCTTCTGGAGCTCTGCAGATAGTTGTCGCTGCTTCTTCTCGGACTCACTGACCAAAACTTCCAGCTCTTGGATTCTGCGTTCGTACTCTGCTGCTTTCTTCGTCTCATTCTCGACAGTCCTCTGATACTCTTCTTGGAGGCCACTCTTCTCCTGTTTGATTTTGCCAGTCTCTTCGACAAGTTCTTGGATACGGGCATTGCTCGTAGACATTTCGTCCTGCAGCTGTAGCTCCCGTTTTTTTAGCTCTTGGTGGCTGGTTTGCAGGTCCGTCACATGCCTCTCGATAACGTCGTGAGTAAGTTCTCGTGACTGATCAGCTGTTTTCTCCTTTTCCAGCCCGAAAAACGCTAGCAGATTGAACATCTCTTTCGATCTGGTCTCCTTGAGCATATCAAACTCTTTCGTCACCGAGTTCAGATTTTCTGTTTGTCTCTCGAAGTCAGATACCAGGTTTGTGTGCAGTCCGGTACTCTTTTGGTATTCTTCATCGAGGGAGCTCTTTTCTTGCTTCAGCTTCTCAATCTCCTCCTCGAGCTGTTGAATGCGAGTCTTTCCATCAAGAATTTCGTTCTGTAAGCATGTTCCATGCTCCTCGAGCTCCTGAAGACGGGTCGTCTTTGCAGCTAGCTTGCTTTGCAGCTGTAGCTCCCTCTCTTTCAAGTCTGCATGGCTTGTTTGGAACGTTGCCAGGTGTTTTTCGACATCGTCGTAGGAGCCTTCCCCGTTTTCCACACCAAGTGACGAAAGCAGCCTGAGAATCTCTCTGGATCGCATCTCTTTGAATTTCTCCAGCTCTTCGTTCACCGAGTTCAGGCTCTTCGTTTGCTGCTCACAGTCAGAAGTGAGTTTATCCTGCATCGTCGTGCTTTTCTTCAACTCTTCATCAAGAAGTTCCTTTTCTCCCTTCAGCGTGACGATTTCTTCTTCGAGTTGCTGAATTCGGATGTTTCCTTCTATAATGTCGCTCTTCAAGGACACTTCTCGTGTCTTCAGCTCCGAGTACTTCGACTGCAGTTCGATCGCTTTCTTCGCCACCTCGTCATGGCTTACATCCCGTTCTTCAGGCTGATCGTCGTCATCTCCAAAGAGAAACTTATACAAGCTGAAAGTTTCTCGAGACCTGGTGTGCTTTAAACTTTCCATCTCGAGCTCCCTCGTCTTGTGCAGCTGGGAATTCTCATCCAGCAACGCCTGGGCTTCATCCTTGAGTCTTTTCACCTCCTCCAGTTCACTGGTAACTTTGCCCATCCTTTCCTGGAGCTCTTCTTTTTCTTGCGACCAGATCACACGAAGCCTCTCAGACTCGTTTTTGGATGTCACCAATTCGGACTTCGCCTGCTCGTTGTCCGTGTTAAGTTGCCGATGCTGTCCGTTCATTTCTTCCTTCTCAGACTGAAGCTTCTGCGCATGTGCTTCTAATGCCTCCCTGGCTTTCTCAGAAACGACAAGCTTTTGTTCTAACGTCGAGATTTGTTCCTTGCATGCTTCGAGATCCTTAACTATCTTTTCAACCTCACCCTCCTTGTCGGATATTGTGGCTTTCAGGGACGTGATTACTTCTTCCCGTTTTTGAAGCTCCAGTGAAAGCTCGCGCAGCTTTTCCATGCTACTCTGGAGCTCTGCTGCTACCTTCTCCTTCTCTTCCTTTGTATTTGCAATCTCTGTCTCCAGCTTCCGACAAAGCTCGGTTGCTGCTGAAACTTCGGCCTGGAGTTTCTCGTGCTTGCCTTGCAAATCCTGATGCTTTTCTGTCAGTGTCTTCATGCTTGCACCGAGAACAAAAGCTTCATCAATTCCTCTTTGGTGAGTCGAGCTGAGTTCAGCATGCTGCCCTTGTACAGCAGCAAGCTCGGACTTCAAGCGCTGAACCTCGGAATCCAGTGACATCGATTTCTGTCCTTCCTCCTCAAACTGGCTCACGAGACTTGCTTTCTCTGTTCGCAAAGCCGACAGCTCCACTTCCAAGTTGGTGGAGTAATCTGTCTTGCTCGACAGCTGTTCCTCTGAACTTCTGTTAAGTTCCCGGAGGTTCTCTATCTCGGTTCCATGGAATGCTACTTTTGCCTCCAGTTCTGATTTCTCTTGCTCAAGGCGACCGATCTGATCTTCTTTCTCCTGCATCGTGACCTTGAGTCCATCGAGGTTTTCTTGCAGTATCCTGTGCTGTTCAGTAGCCGATGCAAGGCTTTCTTCCAGCTGCTTGAGTGCTGCCTTCGCTTCGGAATCGCTGGACTCTTTCATGGCTTGGAGATCCAAAATGTTCTTCTCTGCCAGCTTTTTGGCTTCTGTTACCTCTGAGAGTTCCGTCTGAAGGTTCGAGTGAGTGGCCTGCAGAGTTGCAAGCGTCTCCGTAAGAACCTTGACACGCTCTCCTACAGAGAGAGCCTCCTCCCCATGTTTCTGGCACTCGGATTTCAGCTCGTTGATTTTCGCTTGCGCTTCGGTCAACTCTTGTTGCTTCTGACTCTGAAGATCGGACATCTCGCGCTCCAACGAACTTAAGTGTTCAGCATGAATGGCAAGCTGGCTCTGAGACTCAGTTTTTGCTGCATCGAGGCGGGAAATGCCTTCTTCGAGTTTCTGAACCCACAGCCAAATATCCGTCTCCGAATCCACTCCATGATCTTCAAGCCTTCGGACGAGGTCGAACACCTTCGAGTGCAGCTTTTTGACAGCTTCTTCTTGCTCTTTGGCTTGCAACTCGCTAGCTGAAATAATACTTCTGAGGTTCCTGATTTCTTCTTCCAAGGAGATGACTTCTTCTTTCAGGCTGCCAACCTCAGCTGCATGTGCTTCAACTTTGGCTTGAAGCTCCGACTTATCTTTCTCGAGAGCACCAATCTGTTCTTGAAGTTCTCTGACGCGCTCGGCACCAGAAGTTATCTCGCCTTTGAGTGTCTGAATATCGTTCTCTTTTTCAGTGAGCATGTTTTGATGTTCAGCCGACAGACTCACATGCAGCTCCCTGAGTTCCCTGTTTTCGTTCGAGTGTGTGTTGAGTTGATCTTCCAGCGTCAAATGCCTGTCGTGAAGTTCCGTCTTTTCCCTCGTAAGCTTGGATACTATCTCTTCGGCAGCTTGCAGCTCACTCGTCTTCTGAGAAACTTCTGCAGCCAGACTTTCTTGTTCTTGCTCGAGTTTCTGAACTCCCGCCTTAAGAGTCTTTTGTATCTCGCTACTCCTCTGACTGTCCACCTGCAGTCGTGAGCACTCTTGCTGTAGCTCCTTGATCATCTCATGCAAAGATAAATTCTTTGCTGCTGCACCGTCATCCTTGGCCGAGTGATCCATCTCCATCTCTCCCAGAAACACGCTGATCTCCTCGTTTGCTTTGCGTAGTTGATCAATCAAGCCTTTGTTCTCGGTCGACAGTTTGGTCATCTCGTCTTTTAAAGAGGTCCGCTCCGTTTGCAAAGAGGTGACTTCCTCTTGGAGACCTTTCAGCTCCTCAGGAGGCACAACTTGGCTCAGTAACACACTGTTCCGGCCTGTCACCTGTTTGAGCTCCTCTTCGAGATCCTCAACCTTTCTCTTCCAATCGGTTGAGCCCAGCTGTTCCTTAAGCTGCTTGTTTTCTTGCTGCAAGCTGAACAACATCTTGTGCTGCCTTGAATCATCGTCCGAGTTGTCGTCGTCAGAGCTTGAAGAGCTACTAGAGTCAGACTCTGCATCCTTTTTATTCTTTTCTTTCTTCTTCTCGGACTTCTTCGACTCTTTCGGACTCTCCCCCGGCTTGGACTTCTTCTTGAAGGTGAGTCTCTTTCCAAACGGGGAATTCATCTCTGGCATACTTTCTCGCAGCTCACCAGTAAGTTGGTCGTACCGCTCAGCGAGAGACCTGTACGATCTGTAAAATGCCTCAACCAACCCGACGAGTTCTGGCCTCTTTTGATAGTACATCTCGGCCCGCTTGGCAAAAGAATCTGCGTCTTCCTCGATAAGTTTGAGCATTTCTTTCACCTTGGCATCCATATCTGCTCGAAGGATAAAAGCGCACATCATCATAAAGAAAGAGAAGAATCTCGCTGCTCTACTACTTTACAGACTAAACAAGTTACCTTGGAGATTGTCCTCGAGCCATTTGGAATTCTTTGGACTGATATGACTATCCCACCACCAAGTGTGTGACTTCCCCATCAGTCACAAGACGATGCTACTTTAATTCACATTCTGGAATTTTTAACATAGAGCCAGTAAGATCATAGAAAAGTGAAAAGAACTTCACACTGACCTCCTCGTGAGCTCCCTCTTTTATCTTTCTTACACTAGTATAAGCTCCACACTCCACAGTACAACCTGTTCAGACGAGAAGAGAATCTGTCAGTGATTTCCAAACAAGAGTGTCCCTTCTAGTTGACCTCTCTAGAATTCCACTGCGACACACCAGGAAAGAATTCTCGCAAAAATACGCCGTCACAGGGCGAGTTTCTCACAATGCGCCCCAAGAATCACAGAGAAATCACACGACCTAGAAGATTTTCCAAAGGATCTAAGATATTTCGACCAGATGCCTCACAAACGCAGGCCCGCGCGCATCGCATTGCAAGATCGAAGGCGCAGGGAAGAGAAATCGCCGCAGCTCACCTCCTGAAGCTCGCCCTTTCCAATCGCGATGGCGCAAGCGCGGCTGCAAGAACGAGGAGGAAGAAAATTCGCAATCCTCCTCTACAAGGACTCCTAGTAGGAGCGAATGGACGCCGTCGATAATGCCACGCTGGCAAGAGCATACGGATGCCGTCCATCGCGCAGCCGCAAATCGCAGCCGTCAGATACAATTATTTTTCTTGTCATGGTTGGCAGTCTTTAAAAGCCCTGCCCCACATTACGCCAATTATACCCTCCTCATTTCACAACTACACAAGATCCTTTGGAAAAATCATATACCATGTGTGTGTTTTGTGTCCTTATCAATGTTTAGTCGCGATTTCACCGAATAAAAGATGGAACCTCCGTCATCACAGCATTCTATTCTATAAAAAGTTGGTAGGGCAGTGACATGGCCGCACGTTCATACAATTTCGCCAACATTTGGAGCTCTATGCGATGTCTTCGTGGTCATTCATTTATCATTGTGCTAGTACCGGAAAGTACGAACACTTGATTCTAAAGATTCGGATAGAATTGATCTTTATGTGGCGATCGTGTTTGACAGTAGAACAAACGATGATACATTCTTTGGATCGAGCTCTCTAAGCTGCTGCGATGCCCGAGCTCCTCGCTCTTGATCGCCATTCACTCGACAAGCACTCAGCAAAGTCATCCACGACACAATATCGGCCTCGAAAGGCATCCCCAAGATCAAGTCCTCGGCATCTCCCGTTTTCCCAGCTCGGGCCAAGAGATCAACCACGCATTTGTAATGATCCATCACGGGATTTACTTGATAGTCGCAAAGCATGCGAGCGAAGTGTTCTTGCCCAACTTCCAGTGATCCTTTGTGGCTACAAGCCGAGAAAACTCCCACGTAAGTCACAGCATTTGGACGAACTCCTTCCACGGACATGTAGTGAAGCAGCTCCAAAGCTTGAGATGGAAGCTTTGCCTGGACGTAAGCAGCGATCATGGCCGTCCAGGAGATCTCGTCCTGGTAAGGCATTCCATAGAAGATCCCCAAAGCAAGCCACACTTTGCCACACTTTCCATACAAATCGAGCAGAGCATTCGCGATTTGAAGATTGAGTGGAAGCCCCGCCGCCACCACGTCTTCATGGATGAGCCTTCCTTCGAGAAACGCCACCGCGCTAGCACAGGCGTCGAGAACACTGACGAAAGTTACTTCGTTTGGTTGGATGCCTTCGAGATCCATGGTTTTGAAGAGAGTGATGGCTTGGCGGCTGTGACCATTTTGCGCATACCCCGAAATCAGAGCACTCCACGAGACAATGTTGTGTTTGGGCATATCGTCAAAGATCTGCTTTGCTTCTAGCATATGCCCTGCCTGGGCATAAGCTGAGACAATTGCATTCCACGACACCATGTCCTTATGCGGCATTTGAAGAAAAAGTTTCATCGCTTCTTCTAGTTTCTTAACTTGTGCATATGCCGCCACAATCGCATTCCACGCGATCGAATCGCGCTCGTTCTCTGGCATCGAGTTAAAGATTGCTCTTGCGGCACGGACGTTTCCCTGCTGCGAATGCCCTGTGATCATGGCCGTGCATGACACTGCGTCGTGAAACTCCATGCTCTCAAACGTTTCCTCAGCTCCAGGGAGATCGCCGGCCTGGACGTAAGCAGTGATCATAGCGTTCAAGGTGACAATGTTTGGATCAGGAACGGATTCAAACAAGCTTCGAGCTTCGCGAAGAAATCCCCCTTGTGAGTATCCGCTCATCAACGCGTTCCAAGACACAACATCTCTTTCCGGCATCTCATTGAAGAGCCTCCGAGCTTCTAACAAATGCCCGTTTGAGGCATACGCTGTGACCATAGAGTTCCAAGATATGATATCTCTTCTCGGCATAAGATCAAACAGATATCTTGCCATTCGAATGTTTCCACGCTGTGCGTAGAGTGCTATGATCGAGTTAGACGATACTACATCCTTATCTGGCATAACATCATACAAACACTTCGCCTCGTACAGATGCCCATTCTTGGCATATGCCGCAATAATGATCGTCCAGGAGAAAACATTGGGCTCATCCAGGCCGTCGAAAACGCCGCGCGCTTCCTCCACGCTACCGCATCGACCGTACATTTGGATGATGAGATTGGCGAGGTATCGGTTCTTCCTGTGCTGGCCGCCGGCGATCTTTGCGTGGATTTGCCGGGCATGGGAGAGATCCTTGCAGGATTTGAGCGCGTGGGTGTAGAAATCGGGGAAAGAAGAGGGGCTAGAACGATTCTCGGTGCTCGGCTTCTTGTGATTGACGTCGCGGAGGAGTTCCCTGGCGATCAAAATGGAATTGGAGGAAGCTCCATCGGCAGCCACTGCTAGAATCACGATCGCCCACATTGGGATCTCATCGCCATCTCATCTAATCTAGCTTCCGACGCTATGCCCTCGGTCCAATCGCGCCATCTATGCCCGCTATTGCCAATTGCTCTTCAGTGATTCACAACACGAGGGCATTCCCATCTTCTTCTTCCTCGCACGATAGCATCGCCAGATTTCTCCAGCAAAATGGGAGTTCTGTGGATTCTCTCGCTCAGCTCATTCGATCGTGCAGGGGAGATCTCTCACAAACACGGAGAGTACACGGCTACATCCTCGCCAGCGACGCTTACCGGTCCGACCGCCATCTCGCGAATTTGCTGGTGGAAATGTATGGCAAATGCGGGAGCCTGGACGAAGCCCAGCGAGTTTTCGATCGCCTGGAACGCCCAAACATCGTGTCGTGGACGATTCTCATGGGAATATACACGGAAAACAGGGAGATCGCCAAAGCGAGACGGGTCTTTGACCAAATGCCCCACAAGGACGCGGTGGCCTGGAACGCGATGATCAAGGCATATGCCCAACTTGGGCATCTAGACGAAGCAAAGGTCGTCTTTGATCGAATGCCTGATCACGACGTTTCATCTTGGAACACTTTGATTGCTGCATATGCGCAAAACAGCAGTGTTTACGAAGCCAAGCAGATCTTCGACACCATGCCCGATCGAAACGTTGTCTCATGGAACGCGATGCTCGCAGCATTTGCCCAGAACGGGCATATCCACGAATCGAGAAAGCTCTTTAACGCGATGCCGCAGCGCGACGTTGTTTCTTGGACCGCGATGGTCACGGCATACGCTCAGTGCGGAAAACTGCCCGAGGCCACTGCGATCTTTGACACCATGCCTGAGAGAACCTTAATCGCTTTCACTGTTCTTATCGCTGTAAATGCCCAGCAAGGGCATCTTTTACAAGCAAAACTTCTCTTTGATCAATTGCCACAGCAGGATTCTCACACATTGACGGCTATGATCACCGCGTACGGACAGTCCGGTGATGTCGTACGGGCCCAAAGACTCTTCGACCAGATGCCCAACCCGAACGTCGTCTCTTACACCGCTCTCGTGGCGGCATATGCCCAAGCAGGGGATATTCTCTCGGCTCGACGAATTTTCGACCGGATTCCCCGTAGGGACGCGGCGGCTTGGAATGCAATGGTCTCGGCATATGCCCAAAACGGGCATCTGGAGCAAGCAAAGGATTTCTTTGAGAAGATGCCCAGCCGTACGGTGGTCTCCTGGAACGC